GGCGCTCAGTGGGGGCGCAGCGGCAGGTGCTCAGTGGGGGCGCAGCGGCAGGTGCTCAGTGGCTGGTGCACTGCGGCACGTGCGGTGGCCAGTGGCGGTGTGTAGCGCCACTTGAGCCCACCACCGCGTTCGGGCCCACGCTCCGCGCAGTTTTCCGTCCTACCCACGCACCTGCCGAGTTCCAGGCAACGTTCTGCCTCCACTGAAAGTGGGGCAGTATAATCAGGATAGTCCCCAAATCCATTGTTTTTTAAACGCCCTCAGTCCCCCTCGCACTGAGGATACACGCCCAGCTCATTCTTGCGCGCGTCCACCCGCCATCCGCGCCCCAACCACCCCAACGTTCCCAACTGCCACCCGACCACAGCCCGCCCCCCCCAACGACAGACGGCCACCTGACCACGGCCACCCGGCCACCCTACACTCAGCCACTCACGCCGCTGAGCCGCCGCCCCGCGGAGTACCGGCAACCAGCCCCTGGCCTTCGACCACCGCAGACCTGCGACCCTGGGCCCCTGCAGAGCAGCCACGTGGAACCTTCATGTGCAGAGACTCGCCCCCCAGCCCCTGAGGGTGGACACCGAGCAGGTTCAGTAAGTGACTCTGGAGAAGATTAACACTTGATTTCCCACAAGAGGGGGCAGCCTCAGAAAACCGGCCTCTGAACTTTTTCCCTGAGGGACCTCAGCCCTTCAAGTCACCCCTGTTCCTGCCCACTTAGCAAGAGCTCTAGGGACGGCTGAGCCCAAAGCGATGGAACGGGAAGCTTTGCTTAGATGCGGAGCCTTTGGAAATCTTGGTTCACTTACAGGTTTTTAATGCATCATTAGCACCACTGTGTGTTTCCTGTTTGGCTCCCCTCTCCGCCTCTAGAGCTGGCCCGGCTCCAATCTCTGCGTCACATCCTGGTCTGCAAACTGAGACCTATCAGGGGCCGGGTGCCCCAGGGCACCCCCAACGCTGGTGCTACACCGAAGCCAGAATTCTCGGGCTCTGGCCTGCGCACTGAGCCTGGTGAGGAGGGCGTCTCCGAGCCCAGATCTTCTGGAAGCAAGACATGCGTTCCAGCCCTGACAGAAGTCTTTAGGCTATATTGTTAAGTGAAGATACAACAGTGTTTACTGTGCAAATTTTTGCTTAATAAAAGGGAGAATTACAAATATATACTTGATTCTCTTCTTTTATAAAGACACAGTGAGAGGACACACAGGAAACTAATAACTGTTATTCAAGTTCTTAACATATTGTGGATACTAACTCTTTATGATTTCACTCATGTGTGGAATTTAAGAAACAAAACCAATGAACAAAGGGAAGTAGAGAGAGAGAGGCAAACCAAGAAACAGACTCTTAACTACAAAAAGCACACTGGTGATGACCGGGGGGATGGAGGGGGATAAGTGATGGGGATTATGGTGCACGGGTGATGAGCACTGGGTATTGTACGGATGTGTGGAATCACCATATTGTACACCTGTAACTAATATTACATAATATCACACTGTATGTTAACTAACTAGAATTAAAATTTAAAAATTAAAGAGGCGCCTGGGTGGCTCAGTTGGCTAAGCGTCCGACTTAGGCTCAGGTCATGATCTCACGGTTCGTGGGTTCGAGCCCCGCGTCGGGCTCTGTGCTGACAGCTCAGAGCCTGGAGCCCATTTCAGATTCTGTGTCTCCCTCTCTCTCTGCCCCTCCCCTGCTCATGCTGTCTCTCTCTCTCTCTCAGAAATAAGACATTAAAAAATTTTTTTTTAACTTAATTTAAAAAAAATTTTTTTAAATAAAACTGAACAAATGAGTCAAGTAAGGACCAGGTCCCTCTGGATTCTGCCCTCCTTCACCCCACCCCTGAACCTCAGGTCGGGCAGGGGGTTCAGGCATGGGGGCGGGGGGAGGTTGGTTCTCCCAGCAAGAGGGAGCAAGCCAGGGGTGTCCCCACCTGCACTGGCCTAGCCGCCCCTACATTTATGCTCATGTCTTTTAATGGGTCTCTCCAAGGAAGAAAAGGAATATCAAATTTTGTTGGATTTTTAAAAATTCCATAAGTAATGTTGCTTGTGAGCAATTCGGGCCCATGTTATATTGTATGCATCAACTATTACTTATAAACTGACTTTATTACTTCATGCATTTATTTTTAGGGTTATTTTTCTTTCTTGTTTGTTTTCACATGCCTGATTTTTTGTAGAGGACTTTAAACTTTGTACTCTCTGTTAAGTGGGGTCATATGATAACCTCACCCAATCTACCAACTCATTTTAATCATCAACGTATTTTAAACAGACCTGTTTTTATTTATTTCCATTTCTAATTCCTATTTTTAACTGCACACAGTCTCTCTCTCCTAAGGAAACTAGGTACAGGGTGTCTCTGTCTCCTTACCTTATTTATACTCCACAGTCCTTGACTTACCTGGAGTCTGAAACCCTTTTTAAACTCTGGCTTACATTTTACTTTTCCTATAACATGCTTTCCAGTTGCCAGTTGATTGCATTTTGTATCATTTGCCTTCAGGCTTTCTGATATAAGACAGTGATCGTTCACATTCCTACCAGCAATGTATGAAGGGCCCTTTTTTTCCACATCCTTATCAGCTTTGGAAATTTTTTTTAAAAGTTGCCAATCTGGGAGTACGAAGTTTTATTTCATTATTATGTCTATATCTCATTATTTGTATTTTCCTGAGTAGTAGGGAGTTTGAACTTCTTTATTTTAAAAGTTAAGAATTGCTTTTTAGGGGCGCCTGGGTGGCTTAGTCGGTTAAGCGTCCAACTTTCGGTTAGGTCATGATCTCGCGGTTCGCGGGTTCGAGCCCCGCATCGGGCTCTGTGCTGACTGCCAGCTCAGAGCCTGGAGCCTGTTTCAGTCTGTGACTCCCTCTCTCTCTGACCCTCCCCTGCTCACGCTGTCTCTCTCTCTCTCCTTAGAAATAAATAAAACATTTAAAGAAAACAAGAATTGCTTTTTAATATCTGTTAAATCCTATATTCATTTCTTATATTTTTAACTAAATTGTTTTATTTTGGAAACAATATGGAAAAGAATAGAAAGTGGTAATCAGCACCCTTGTAACCATAAGCTACAATTAACAAATGTAAACATTTTGCTGTATTTGCTTCAGATTTTTGTCAAATCAAATGAAACGTTAGAGACATATTGGGGGCTCTGCCCCTGTCCCTCTGTCCCCAAGAGCAAATGCACTCACACACTGAGCGTGTGCCAAGGCGTGCACTGTCCCCTGTCACATACTCGTGGAGCCACGGCCCTGTGCAGTACTTGGTGTGTTTGCAGATGTCTATAAATGACCTTACTTGTTACTGTTTGAGACCTACCATGTGAACACATACAGATGCGTGGTTTTCGACCAGAGGCTTGGTCGCTCAAGGCAGAAAGGAAGGACCACCAGTGGGTAACATGAAGATATATGAAAATGTACAGCACACTGGGAAAGATACACGCATAGTCAGATTCAGAATATCCTCACAACATAACTCAGCGATGTGTTCACCACTTAACACCAGCATAAAGGTTAAAAGACAAAAGTATTATTTGTTAAGTTTATCTATTTTGACAGCACAAGTTGGGGAGGAGCAGAAAGAGAGGAGAGAGAATCTCAAGCAGGCTGCACACCTTTACCGCAGAGCCCGATGTGGGGCTCAATCTCACGAACTGTGAGATCATGACCTGAATCTAAATCAAGAGTCTGATGTTTAACCAACTGAACCACCCAGGCGCCCCTAAAGAACACAAGTATTGGGGCACCTGGGTGGCTCAGTTGGCAGAGTGGCTAACTTCAGCTCAAGTCATGATCTCCCGGTTCGTGGGTTCAAGCCGCGCATCGGGCTCTGTGCTGACAGCTCAGAGCCTGGAGCCTGCTTCAGATTCTGTGTCTCCCTCTCTCTGTGCCCCTCCCCTGGTCATACTGTCTCTCAAAAATAAACACTAAAAAAATTTTTAGGGGCGCCTGGGTGGCTCAGTCAGTTAAGTGTCCGACTTAGGCTCAGGTCATGATCTCGGGGTTCGTGGGTTCAAGCCCCGCGTGGGGCTCTGTGCTGAACGTTTGCTAAGAGCCTGGTGCCTCCTTTGGATTCTGTGTCTCCTTCTCTCTCTGCCCCTCCTCCGCTCACACTCTGTCTCACTCTGTCTCTCAGAAATAAATAAATGTTTAAAAAAAATTTTTTAAGGACAAAGTATTAAAGAACAACTAGAACTACAGTAACTGGTTAATGGATACACAATAAAAATATGCAAATTGTGGCATCAAAAAACAGAAGGGGGAGTAAAGGGTAGAGTTTTGTATGTGATTAAAAAGCTGTTATCAGGCTGAAGCAGACCATCACATCTACAAGATGTTTCAAGTGAGCCTTAGAGTAACCGTGGAACAAACCCTGTAGCAGACATGCTCTGAAGGAAACGGAGCCCCGCGGAGCCCCCCGGTTCACAGGAGAAGGGAGCACCCAGGGAGAGAGGGACTATCAGCCAGCCGGGAGCACCGCGCGCCCCACCCCTCCCCTCTCCCCGGACCCGTCAGCCCTCGTGTTCTCAGCATTCCAGGGGCGGATGGGCACGGAGGGGGCACTGCTGGGGATGAGCACTGGGTGTTACATGGAAACCAACGTGACAATAAGCTATTTAAGGAAAAAAACCAAGATGGGAATACTAACTCCTTATCAACAACCACTGTAAGTGGAAACAGTAAATTACTCACGTCACCGTTAGGCCCCGTCCTGTGGGCCTTCCTTGCTGGGAAGCCCACCCCTCTGGGCCGGGCCCTTCGGGGACGCGTCCCCACAGCAGCCACCTGCGGAATCCCCGGGGAGAGACGACCTGGGCGCCCGGCGCCCCACCCCGCACCGCGGCTGCCCGGGCGCCGCCGCGCCGGTGGATTAACCGATTTCAGAGCCGGGTCCTCTCTGCTCCCCCCGTCGTACTGAGCGGCCCCGGGACCGCTAACCCCACGTAGCCTGGGCCGCAGCCGCCCCCTCGGCCAGCAGGGAAGAACCAGTGCCGCCGTGAGAGGCGGAAGGGGGCCTCCCTTCCTAGCGCTCGCCCGAGCTGCAGCGCCCGCCGTGTGGACGGCGGACGCGGGCTCGAGCCTGAACACCTCGCCGTCCTCCACGCATCCCTGTCTCTGAGGGTTCAGGAAGTCCGAGCCCCGACACCTCGTGCATTTGCTGCCTGTGAGACCCAGGGGCCCGGGAAGAGAGGAAGGAACAGGAGACACGAGACGGCTCGGCTCGGGGTGTTGAAACGGTCCGCCCACCAGGGGGCGCGCCCCGCCCTGCACCGCAGAGCGGCGCGTGGTGACCTCTGGAGACGGGTGTCGAGGAGGCGGAGGGCGCCTGGCTGGACAGCGACGCCTCTCTCCGGCTGCACCCAGAGGGAGCTCGGAGCCAGGGGGCTGCACCGCTGTACCCCGGGCGTCCCCGGTTCTCCCCCTCCTCTGCCCGCAGCCCCCCGACTCCGGAAGCGGCCTCAGCTCCCCCGGACCCCGCCATCCCCCAGGGTCTGGAGACGGCGGCTCTCGGACGCCCCTGCGGACGCCCCCCCCCCCTCCGGTCCCAAGCCCGGGAGGCGGAGCTCCGAGCGCGGCCTCCGGCTGGCTCCGGGCGGGGCTCCCTGGGGAGGGCGTCCCCAGCTCGCAGGTTCCCGCCCCAGCCCGGTCTTCCATCCGCACCTTCCACGCCTTCTTCCCTTTTGCGGGCTCCTGTTTCGCGGCGCCCACAGGTCCTGCGCCCTAGGGTGATTCCTCCGCCTTCCTGTCCCCTCCTCCCCGCTATCCACTCACGCCGAGAAGCGCGCAGCTGGCGGGGCGCAAGCCAGGCTCCCGGAGCCCCAGGAGGGTTCCGCTCTTCGCTCCCGCGGCCAGGCCTGCCTGACGTCTCTGGCCCGGCCGTAAACGTTTCTTCTTTCCAGTCTCCTTTCCCCCACGATGCCTGTGTGGACAAGAAAGCCTGAAATGCTGGAAAAGACCCTCCGCAAGGCCGGTCGCTGCAGCACATCTTGTAATAGGAGTGAGCGGAGTGGACACAAGCCCAGTGGAAATCGGCAGGTGCTGGGTGAAGACATGCCCGAAGAGAGCATCCGCCTGCTTCCTGGTGGATTCGCAGGCGCAGAGGACTGGGCAGCAGACCGGGCCCCCTTTTCTCCTCTGTCGCCTCATTTCCCCAGGCCCCCGTGTGACACTGAGTGCAGCCCTGGGCCCGTCTGGATCTCATCCTTCCTGAGGGTCTGAAAAACGAGACACTGGACATGGTGTCTCCAGGCGACTCAGCCGAGTCCACCCCCTCACCTTCTATCCAGTTTGCCAATGAAGAGTATCTGCCTTATTCTAGGATGACCTCCAGGATATATTAAGTGGAAAAACAAACAAACAAGGTGGAGAACAGATACCTAAGGTAGATGTAAATATACATACTTGTTTGCTTATACTTATTGATGAGGTTTTGGGGTGATGGAGGGGTCGTGGAGTTTGGAGCCAACCACCTAGAAAGAATTCTTCAAGGCGTCGTTGGTATAAAAAGGTGACTTTATGAAAGCACAGGGACAGGACACACAGGCAGGCAGAGCTGCACTGGGGTTGGGGGAAAGGGTGGTGACCTTTTTACGGAGTTGGGGGAGATAGAGTCAAGAAGGGGTTCCAAAGAGATTTTCACATGCTCAAGACTTACTGGAGGCCTAGCTACGCTAAGGTGGTTTTCCCTCTAGCAAAGCGCTAATGTTAAGACAGTAGGGAATTCCTGGACTTTAGGCTATTGATGGGATTGCCTGGTGGAGACTCTTATCAGTTTAATCATTTGTGGGGTTTTTTTTTTTCTTTGTCCTTTCTTGTTTTTGGGTAGCTGGGAGTGTCCAAGGAATATCTCACATGTCCCACCCTGGGGGGTTGGGGTGCTGTTAGCCTGCAGTTTGCCCTCAGCTTGCTCCACACTAGCTCATCACTTATTTTTTTATTATTATTAGTGGAAGTATATTTGAAAGGCTAACAAAGGTAGTTACCTATGGGGGGAGGAAAACCAGGTGGGAGATGATAATCGGTCTTTTCTGCATGTACCTTGTCCGTATATTTGACTTTGGAAACATGTAAATGTTTTACATCATTACAAAATTAAATTAAATTAAAACAAAACACACTGAAATTGTGTATGTAACTGGTAGCTTAAAAACCCAGTGAGGACTTATTTTAAGTGACTTCAAACTGCAGTAATGGGGGCATTTGCGGGGCTCACTTGGTTAGGCTTCTGACCCTTGGTTTTGGCTCAGGTCATGATCTCATCATTCATGAGATTGAGCCCCACTTTGCACTCTGTGCTGACAGCTTAGAGCCTGCTCCGGATTCTCTCTCTCTCTCTCTCTCTCTCTCTCTCTCTCTCTTTCTCTCTCTCTCTGCCCCTCCTCTGCTCTCTCTTTCTCTTTCAAAAATAAATAAATAGACTTTAAAAATAAATAAATAAAGGGGTATCTGGGTGGCTCAGTCACTTAAGCATCTGACTTTGGCTCAGGTCATGATCTCACAGTTCAGGAATTCAAGCCCCTCCTTGGGCTCTGTGCTGACAGCTCAGAGACTGGAGCCTGCTTCAGAGTCTGTGTCTCCCTCTCTCTCTGCTGCTCCCCTGCTTGCTTTCTCTGTCTCTCTCAAAAATAAACATTAAAATTTAATTTCATTTAATTTTAATTTTAATAAATAACTAAATAGGTAAAAATAAAATGCACTAATGTGACTGGATATCCTTAGTAGGATATATTCTGACAACAAAAAGAGTAGCAAATAAAACTTAATTTTTTCATTTATCATCTTGGTAATTACTGCTGTTATTCTGAATCAATTATGTATGCACATATATATACAAACACATAGTAGAACAAAGAAAATGAGGGGCCCCTAGGTGGCTCAGTCGGTTAAGCGTCTGACTTCGGCTCGGGTCATGATCTCACGGTTCGTGGGTTCGAGCCCCGCGTCGGGCTTTGTGCTGACAGCTCAGTGCCTGGAGCCTGTTTCAGTCTGTGACTCCCTCTCTCTCTGCCCCTCCCCCATTCATGCTCTGTTTTTCTCTGTCTCAATAATAAATAAACATTAAAAAATTATTTTAAAAAACAAAGAAAATGAGTCATTATGTTAATGTTACTAGAAACCAAGATTTTCAGCATAAAAGGAAAGATTAGGTTTTCTCTTATGACATAAAAGAAGAAAAATAAAGCACAGTAATTCAAAATTTGAAGGAAAAAATCAATATAAACTCATAATGTATTTTCTCTTAAAAATGACAAAATGTGTTTCTTAGCTCTGTTTATAAGAAGGCCACTAATTATGCCCTAACTGAGTGCACTGAGCAAGCATATATCCATAGAGTACCACCACCCCCTGGAAGGAAAAGAGGTCCTCCGAGACCTAGATAATCCTCCATCTGGGAGAAGAATATACAAGGTGACCCTGGGACATCTTGTTGCCCCAGATTGTGAGAAGGCTACTGGGGTCACATCAAAAGTGACTCAGGATCTCACAGAGTGTGGGTTGCAGCTTCATATCAGGCTCTGCGCAGATGGCTCTCAGATCCTGCTTGGGATTCTGTCTCCTTCTCTCTGCCCCTCCCGGATTTGTGCGAGCACACTCTGTCTCTCTCAAAATAAGAAAACTTAAAAAAATAAATGTGAACATTGACTCTACATTTATATTAAAGAACTGTGCATTTTAAAGATGTGATCACTGTACCTTTTTAAAAAGATGTTTTTGTTTGCAAACTAAAGTTTTCATCAATGAAAGATTATGTGTGGGATTTGCTTAAAAATAACACGGGGTGTGAACGGGGTGTGGATGAGTAGGAGGTTATTGGAAAACAAAATTGGTCATGAGTTGATCACTGCTGAAGGGGTAGTGTGTGTACCAGAGTTCATCATATTATTTTCTCTTCTTTATGTATGTTTGAAACTTTCTGTAATAAAAAGGTTGACACTTTTAAGAAATTAAAACGTTCTGCCAAATGTCAATATTTGGAAATGAACCTGACTCTGACTTCACCCTCTTCCATCCCTGGGGTGGGGGGAGCACTGGTTAGCTCTTACTGAGACCTGAAGAGGATCCAGGCACTGTCCCGTGCTGTGGCTGGGAAGGCAGGTGGTTAGTGACGCCCAGGGCCTGGATCTCCTTTCCCCGGTGTGGTAGTTTCTGCCCCGCGCACGCTTACAACAGCACTGTTAACAACCGGCTACAACAGTTTGGTAGACACCTTTTTATGTACCCCTCACAACATTCCAGCATTCCAGACAGGACTCGAATGCTCAAACTCAGATTTTTTAGGCCATCTTGAAAGCAAAAAACTCCCCCCCAAATGCAGGACAGTATGGTTATAAGAAACAATAACTTTTCTGTGGTACTGCCTCCTGTCCTGACACCTGGCTGCCTTCTTGTCCCCCAGAGCTGCTGCGAACATGAGAGACCTGTCTCTCTCAGCTCCCTCAAGAGGGGCTGGCAAGGGGCCCTTCCAAGCCTCTTGTGGCTTCTGCTGCTTGCTGGGTGTTCTGGGAGTTCTTGGCTCGTGGGGACATTGCAGCAGCATATGCCTGCATCTGCACACGGCCATCTCCTCGGTGTCCATGTGCCCAAATCTGTCTCCTCTCACAAGGCTACCAGTGGTGCTGGACAAGGTGTCCGGTCCACCCTAACCCTTATACCTGAAAGACCCTATTTCCAAACAACAACCCATTCGTAAGTCAGGACTTGAACGTATCTTTTGGGAACACACAGCTCAGCCGGTATGTAAGTCCCCCTAACAGCCAGCGGGAAGTGTGGGTATAAAGAGGGCCAAGGCGGAGATCTGAGGGAAGCTGAGATGGGGAAAGGAAGACACAGGCAGAGGGGCACAGAGGAAGCCTTCTGCAGGAAGGGCCCAGTTTGGACATTGGGAGGGACTGGGGAACCAGAGAGAGGAGAGAGGTGGTCTTCAAACAGCGAAAGAGCAAGCAGCATGGTGGTGGTTGGGGCAGCACAGGGGGCGGGAGAGGCCTCCCCAGGGAGGGACAGTGTGCAAGAGCCGGGGTATCTGTGAGAGGAGGACACGGAGAGGAGCCAGGTGTCTGAGAGTGGCAAAGCATGTTCCAGAAGACACTCCTCGTTCACCAGCTCATTGTGTGCCTTACCCATGTGTCTCCACCGCCCTGTGCTCTCCTCCGACCTGGTGTTGCCCTCAGCCCCTCCTTCCTCTTCCTCACTAGGACAGTCCTGGGACCCCAACCTGGGGGGCTGGCCCTGCCTCAGCTGCACACACTGCTCCCTCCAGATGCCTGGACCATCTGCCACTGCCCAGAGCAGGTGCTCAGCCCTCATCTGTGTCTCAACCACGGCTCCATCGTGTTCCGTGACTGAAGCCAATGTCCTTTGCGCCCAAAATCTTCTTATGAAAATTCTCAGACAGAAGACCTGAAAGGGTTTTACAGTGATCCATCCCCTGGATTCTGTCATCACCATTTGACTGCAGTGGCCTTATCGGATGCTCCCACCTACCCTTCCCTGTCTCCATCCATCAGTGCGTCCATGATTGTATGCATTTTATAGTACGTTTCAGGCAATGAAGTGACTTCCTAAAAGATAATCTGATCACGTGAGGACTTCATTGAACTTTGAATGGACTGTCAGTGATGCTCCCTTTTGCTGAAGGATAAAGCCCCAACTCCATACGGTGATGTGTATGCACCCCCAGCCTAAGCTCCCTGTCCCCCAAACGGCCTCCTGGTTTTCACTCAGGTAAGATGCTGGCTGTATGTGAGCATCCCTGTCCCCCATGCTGTGTGCTGTCTCCCTGACCAGCTCTCATCCCTTCTCATGAGATTGTCCCCAGAAAGCCTTTTCTGACATCCTGCTAGGGTCACTGACTGGCCTGGTGCAGGACCTCCTTCATGAGCCTTACCTCAATCACCACACTCTCTCCACGAACCACAACCATCTGAGAGCTTCCCCCAAAATCAGGGCTCCCACTCTATTTGCCTCTTGTCCTTGGCACCTGGAACAGTCTGTGGTGCATGTGGGTGGCCCGTAAATACTTGTTGAGTGACTGCATAACTGGTTCTGTCCCTTGTGACAGCACTTCTGGCTTTTATGCCATCTTCGCCCACATGGCCTGGGTCCAGACCCTCAACGTGGATCCCACAGCGTAAGAATGAGGAACGGGGGGCGCCTGGGTGGCTTAGTCGGTTAAGCGTCCGACTTTCGCTTAGGTCATGATCTCGCGGTTCGTGGGTTCGAGCCCCGCGTCGGGCTCTGTGCTGACTGCCAGCTCAGAGCCTGGAGCCTGTTTCAGTCTGTGACTCCCTCTCTCTGACCCTCCCCTGTTCACGCTGTCTCTCTCTCTCTCCTAGAAATAAATAAAACATTAAAAAAAAAAAATTAAAAAAAAAAAAAAAGAATGAGGAACGGAACCCAGGACGTTACCAGTGTCCTCTAGCCAAAGACCCCCAGAAACACACCCGTAGTTAAGCTGGACTGATTTCCCCTAGAGACAAGAAAAACACACAGCACTGGCAACTGGGCAGTGTCTGTCCAGTGCAGGGGCCAAGGGCAGGCCGCGCTGAGGTGGGCCGCTGAGGCATGAACGTGATTTTGAGTTAAAGTCAGCAAAACGCAGCAAAATGCAGGAAAAGCTCTCTTCCTAGTCCTCACCTGCCTAAATTTAAGGAAAGGAGAGCTTGTACTAGGAAGAAAGCTGTTACTAGAGACTCCTCTTTACCTAAGAAACTTACTTGCTTAATAAGGCAAACTTTGTTTTTCCAAACATCTACCGCCTTCCTGTGAGGTCCTCCTAACCCTGTATCCTCAGACCCTGATCCCAGCTCAGCTCACAGAGCCCCATGTTGCCTCTTGGAGTTTGCATGTGTGTGTGGATCCCCATTGCACACATTGAATTTCATTTTCTCCTGTTAATCTGTCTCAGGTCAGTTTGACTCTTAGTCTGGCCAGAAGGACCTTGAAGGGCCCCCGGAGAGTCTTCCTCCTCAAGAGGCCTGTAGGGTTCTTTGTAGGGACTTGTCAGTCCTCCGTTCCTCCTCAGTGGGGAGTGCGGCAAGGATGAATAGGGGCTGGGGGGGGTGTCTGTGAGGAGTTCCTTAAAAGGTAAAGTAGAGCAAGTCTCAAGTGAATCTGCAGTGTCCAACCCCCAACCCAGACCCTCTGCCCTCAGCTGTCATGGTCAGCGCCCACGAGGCCATGGGAGGGGACAGGGAGGCCGTGAGCAGGGGGGCCCAGCTGCCTTGGCTGCGGCCTGGGCAGGGCTTCTGCTCTGCCGACATCTCCCATTCTCCCCATTCTCCCGGGGCAGAAACTCTGCAGGCGGTCGGTCCTCTTCGCCAGAATGTTTTCTTGATCATCCTGCCTGGTATCACAGTCTCCCAAATGACTCCCATAGCTACTCGTTTGAGCCCCGAGGAAAACCTATTAGATATGAATTCTTTGTTTGTTTTGTGACAGTGGCCTCTGACCAGACAGGCTCAGCTCCCTGGACCCCAAGGGCCTTATTGTCTCTGCTCCCTGCCTTTTGGGCGGATGACCTCACCCTCACCATCAGTTTCTGGGATCCAGTGACTCACTGCGGATGCCCGGCACCTGCGGTCTCTGCGGATGCTGTCTAAGGACACGGGCCATGACCTTTCGTCCTCCGGTCCAGCGCTTCTCCCCATTAGCGATTCTTCTCCATCCCGGAGCTCTGGCTGCCTCCTTCAGACCAGCACCTCTGGTGATGCCTCCTGCACTCCCCCTCTCCCGGAGCTGGAGTCTCTCCCGTCCAGGTTCCTGCCCTCTGCCCCCACGCCACCCCCAGGGCCAGGGCTCTCCGGCCCCACACCTTGTGCTCCTCCTCACTTCCCGGAGGGTTCGATCTGATGTGGGCTCTGCCAGCTGCACTCGCTTTAAGAGCTCGAACAAATGACTTAAATCTCTGGGCTTCTGTTTTTGCATCTGTAAACTGTGGGTAATGATAATTACCTTTTACTATGTTGTATGGATTAGTTTTCTGGTTTTGTTTCTTTACTGAACAAGTAATTAATGTATACATTCATTTGTAAAGAATTTAAACCAGACAAGTAGAATGAAAGTCTCTTTCAGCCAGTGTCTCCCTGAATCCGCGTTTGATGTGGTCCCGCAGGATATTTGTGCGTTTACATAGCTATTTATGTACATATGGAAAAACGTGTGAGTGTACCTACCTGTATTACTGAAACAGCTAGGAAAGGAGTATGGTGGGGATGGTGAAGAGGTCTGTTTGTGGACTGAGAGAGGTTGGTGGTTAAAAATAAAGGCTGTATTTTTGATAAAAGCTAATCAATAGATGATAACCCTACAATCGCAAGAGGATTTACAGCATTTACAGACACGGAGGCAAACCCCACAGAGCAGTATCAACTAAGAGCTGAAAGTGATAGAGATGGGGGTGGGGGTTCTAGTTTTTTCCACTGGTCCTTCTCGTTAGTGGACTTTCTATGTGCGTGTGTAACTTTGATTCAAATCCTGAAAAACAACTGGTGTTCTGTGTTCCCCGCTTTCCCACCAGCCCCGTGGAGACAGGCTGCCCACTCCCTCCCTCAGAGCCTATCACACCCTCCCTTCCTCCAGTCTGTCCCCACATCCCAGAGGGTGCAGCCCTTCCCACCCACCACCTCCCTCCCCACCCCCTTCCCCACCTCCCCACCCTCCGCCATCTCTGAGCCTCGCCCAGGAGATCGGGGCCAACGTTAAGTTTAGAAGGACGAGCTCCACGGTCCTCTGAGCTGCAGCCCCGGGCAGGGGGCAAGACCCTCAGCCTTACCACGTGTTCGATCTCAGCCTGCTGAGCCGCCTCCCACACGGCAGACACACCTCGTTCATGACCTTCCTGACTTCGTGCTCCCTGCTTCCTTGACAAAACCCTCCGTGTATGTGTGTGTGTGTGTGTGTGTGTGTCTGTGTGTGTATGTCTTTAATACGGATCACAACTCAGAGCACAAAATAATTCTGCACTTGCTTTTCTTTTACACATGGGTCTTAGAGATTGTCTCATGTCAATCCAGATAGGTCTTCATTGTTTTTAACTGCTACGTGAATTAAATTCGATAACGTATGTGAAAGCACTTTGCATGCTTTCTGGCCCTGGGAACACTCGGGGATGTTTGTTTACTTCACTTGAGTTCCTAGTACTCCAACACAATGGACAGACACCCAGGACAAACGCTACAGGTGTAAGCCCCACCCCCACCCCCACCCTTACTAAGTTGATCACAACCCCAGCATCCCAATTCACACGCTGGGCTCCCTGGAGCTCTCCCACACACCCTGCTTGCTGGCTCTCACCTCAAAGCGCTCTCACACCTTGGCCTGCCACCCACTGGGGAAATAGTTCCCTTTCTCCAAGACCAGACTTTTCGGAGTGAATCCTGCCCCCACTCCCCAGCCATGAGCCCTCAGCAGCCCCCTGGGCCCCCACCGCCTGGTGCAGGTGGCTCACGGTCCGCCCCAGCCAGAAGCTCATCCCTGTGAAGACAACCTGTCTTAATATCTTCAGCACATTGCCTGGCACATCAAAACTGCCCCACACGCGTTTGTTGGATAAACACCTCCAACTTCCTACAAGTCTCATCTGTGTCCCCGTTACTATGGCACCCACAGAAGCCGTTGTCGCTGTGGCATTCGGGGTAAAGCAGAGCGGCTATAATTTGCAGCAAACCACTTCACCTCTCTAGCCTCCCTCTTTTAACCTGTAAAATGAGAGTAAAGATACCTGCTTCGTAAGGATGAAATAAGTTAGATACAGAAAGATGCTCAAAAACTGTAACAAGTATTATTACCCCTTCTCCAAACTTAGGTCCAGCCTTGCTGAATTCTGACCCAATCTTTCCCCAAGTCCCTGCCTCCACCGCATTCCCCACGTCCCGACCCCGGTGTAGGTTGTCAGGGTCCCCCTTCCCCCGCCCCCCACCGTCCGGGTGCAGGCAGTCTGGTCCGTCCATCCAGTCTGGTGAGCCCTGCTGCGCCCAGTTTCCTCGTCAGCGCCCACTTCTCTGCAGCTCCCGCCCTCTCTGGGGTGCAGGTGAGCCTGCGCGCCTGCTTAGAGCCCCCCTCCTGCGCTCCCGCCGCACCGCCTGGGGAGCGCGGCCGGGACGCGGCGCCGCAGGTGCGTCCAGTCCACGCGGCGCGGGTTTCAAGGACGCTCAGCACCGGGAGGGGCTCTAGGAGGGGCCACAGGGCCGGGCCAGCTGCCCCCAGACCCGCGGGCCGGGCGCGCGGGCAGGGCCGGGCGGAGGCTCCGCAGGAAGTCGAGGGAGAGGCGCCCGCACTAATTGTCAGGCTGGATGCCAGCAGCATGCCAGTGATGTTTCGGCGACAGGTCACCTGGGAAGAAGACGGCCAGTGTGTCACGTGGGGCTCCTCTGGGCTCAGCAGGCCTTTCTGGGTCACCCTCTGCCTTTGCCTCCCTCTTGGGTTCCCTGCCGGCTCCCTGACACCTGTCTTTTCCGCCTTGGTGTCTCTGACTCACTGGCCCTGTCCCTGACTCTTTGTGCCTCTGTGTCCCTGGGGGTCAGCTGGGGGCAGAAGCACCGAGGCCCCACCCTCAGGCCCAGTGTCTTCCCTGTGATGTCACACACACACACACACACACAGACACACACACACACGGGAGTGGTTAGTGAGACGTAAAAAATGAAGAAGTTCTGGAGAGTATTGATTGTTGTAGAAACATGAACTACTTTTGCTCTTACTGGGTCTCCCTTACGTTTACTCACAATGCAGCTGCTTACAGGGGCTGACAGTTCACACTTAACCCCTGACGTTCCACCACACCTGCCCAGTGCGCCCCTCTCCCCCCGCCCCGCCCCCTGTCAGGGCAGCCCCTCTGTATCCACCCACACCTGGCTGTCTCTTTCTGCCACCTGCTTCCCACACCAGACTCACCTCCCCTGGAGTCAGAGAACTGCCCCCCCCGCCCCCCCCCCCCCCCCCCCCCCCCCCCCCCCCCCCCCCCCCCCCCCCCCCCCCCCCCCCCCCCCCCCCCGCCCCAGGGCTCCCTCCCTCCAGCCGCCAGGCCATCAGGCTACATCTCACACACAGCAGTGTTGCCTCAGGGCCTTTGCCCCTGCATCTACCTCAGTCTGGACCAGTTTTCTCTCAGCACCTGGTGACTCCTTCACCTTCCTCAAATCCTTGCTCAAATATCATCCATTGAAACTGTAACCCAGACCCACCTACGCAGTACTCCCTCCCTTCCTCCCCAGCTTCCTGCAGCTTCGTACCTGCAGGCATTTCCCATTTTTATTGACCGTCTTCCCTATTTGAATGGAATTCCCAAGAGGGCACATTCCTGTCTGCTTCATCCTCCCAGAGTCCCCAGCTACCCCAACAGTACCTGAAACACCGTTGGGGCTTAATAAATATCTGTTGAATAAATGAGGATAAATGATTTCCTTTGATCATAAAATAAGTCTGACAGCAATACAAACTTCCCCACCCTATAATCACAAAACCGACCAGAGCTGGGTCAAATCTTGGAAACCCCACTGCTTCCGCACCGGGTATGTGTTCCTCCAGGCAGGGCAGGGTCTCAGTGGGCGAAGATCCAAACTGAGGGGTCTGGACTGATGGGTTTCCCACCTGCCAGAAAGGCAGGCTGCCCCAGTCTCCAGCCTCCCTGGCTGGCTGAGTCCAGCCTCAGCCCTTCCTGGGACCGGGAAGAGATTCGGTGGGTCGGCCTGGAGTGGAGACTGGGGACCACATGGCCGGCCGCTTCCTTCCCTCCGGCCGCCGCCCTGACTGAGCTTGATTCTTGCCCAGTAAACGGGATGAGGACAAGCAGAGGGAGGGCAAGGATAGGAAAGCAAATACGCGGCGGCGGCGGCGGCGGCGGCGGCGGCGGCGGCGACATGAAGGGAGGGAGAGAAGGACCAAGCGTAAGTGCAGGGGAGGGAGCCCTCTCTGCAGAGAGTGCCGGAGGCTGCGCCCTGGTGTCCCTCTGTCCTGCCCTCCTCTTCGGTGGGCCCATCTCATCACCCAAAGCTCACTTTGCTGAACCTCGTCCACTCCCAGAGCCAGGAACCCATCCTTGACCCCCCCGCAGCCCCCGTGACCAGGTCAGTGCTTCTGTCTACAAAACACCTCAAGCTGCCCTGCTCCTTTCCAGCCCCTGTGGCTCCCACTGACCTTCCTGGCTGCCGCCTGTCACCTAAGTTCTTTCTTCAGGACCCACAAGACTCTGGGGGCCATCCCTGGGTAGGTCTTCGGTCACTCTCACTGCACACTTGTCTCATTCAGCTCCTTCTAACTGGAGACCCTGTGTGGTCTGGTCTCTGCCCAGTCTTCATCTACTGCCACTACCTTCACCTGCAGCTCACCGTGGACCAGCTTTCCTTAATTAGGCCCAGATTGTCCCTTTCCTCAGAGTCTTTGCAAAGCTGTTCCCTCTGCCTGGAATGCCCTTTCCTCCTCTCTGTGCCTGATGAACTTCTACTCATCTCTCCAGTCTCTTCTTGAATGTTGACTCCCCAGAGAGGCCTTCCTCCACAGCCCCCATCCAAACCAGAGCCCTGTGCCGGATCTTTGTGGGCTCGCCAGACTCAGCAAACAGAAACATAAAACATCTACTTAAACCTGAGTCCTAGATAAATAATCAATCATTTTTTTGTATAAGTATTCCCCATACAATATTTGGGAGATACTGATGCTAAAAGAATTCATTGTTTATCTGAAATTCATATTTAACTGGATGTCTCAAAATTTTTTTAATGTTTATTTATTTTTGAGACAGAGAGAGACAGAGCTTGAGGCAGGGAGGAGCAGAGAGAGAAGGAGACAGAATCGGAAGCAGGCTCCAGGCTCTGAGCTGTCAGCACAGAGCCCGACACAGGGCCCAAACCCACTAACCGTGAGATCATGACCTGAGCCAAAGTCAGACACTTAACCTACTGAGCCACCCAAGCGCCCCTGGATGTCCCAAGTTTTATCTGGCAACTCTAGATATGTAGATTGACTTCCTTCCCTTTCTATTTGGAGAGGTTGGAAAGTAAAACAAACTCTACTTCTCAGAAACTTTGGCAGCTAGGCTTTCACCAGCTGGATGCATTTGTATGAGATTTGAGAGGCAGGGGTGAGGGAGGCCACCCTCCTACAGCATAGGAGGCAGCTGAGCTCCAGCAAACACGAGGACTCCATGGGAATGGCGGCAGCAGTGCTTCTGACAGACCTTGAAGCCAAGAGTCCAGCTAGAACCTCGTGACTCCTAATCCTCCAGGCCTTTCAATGATTCTCTTATCACATGGTTCCTTGTATTGAATCCCTTGCCACCGACCAGACCAGACCAAGAGTGGTTTCTGCTCCCTGCCCTGGTCCTCAGCACCTGCACGTCCCTTCACGGCACCCTGGGGACATGCACGTGACTGTCTGCTGTCCACAGGCTGTGGCTGTCACGCTGACTGTCACACATCAGTGTTAGTGTGCCTGGACCTCATCATTTGCTCCTTCTATTCCTGGTCAAGTGGGGCCTCACTGTGAACATACAAGAGTGGTCAGTTAGCACCTCTTTAATTGAAATGAGCGTGGAAGAAACAGGGAGCAGGCTTCCTGCACTCTTGAAGAATAGGGACCAGAGGGACAGGCCTGCTCATACCCCAGCTATCTGGGACAAGCTATGTTAGCCCTGTGGACCCTGGTTTTCTTGCCTGCAATGTAAGGGTTAGGCTACATGGTGATAACATCCCTGCCAGCTCTAACACTCTACTCATCTGGGATTCTGTGACCTCCATAGTGTGAGAAGAGAAGCAAATTAGCTGCATCTGGTGCCCCGTCCAGCATAATGAATTGTCTGCTTATTTTCACAGATGAGGGAGTGGATGTGGAAATGAATGGTCATCCTGAATGGGAGGATGCAAAGGAGGACCAGACTTAGAGTAGGAAGGGAGGTGAAGACTGCTGGGTCTGTGAATACACAGACTGACCCTGTAATCCCGCTCTTAGAACACAGCCCAGCACCTTGTCGCCTGACAGTGCCTGTCCACCTCTTATCACACCACTGGCCACACTCATAGCATCAAGACCTCTCCCCCCAACCCTCAGCCTGGGGCTCCCTCTCACCACCCAGGGCTTGGCTCACACATCATCCCTCAGAGAAGTGTTTTCTAACACCCTATTAAAGTCGTGCACACCTCCTCCACTTAATTCCTCTCATATTACCCACTTTATATTCTTCAAAGCACTTATCACATCTATAATTATCTTGTTCACCTATTTGTTTACTTGCTTATGGTTAGTCTTTCCCAACAGAATCTAATTTGTCAGAGGACAAGGGACCATGGCTGGCTTGGTCACCCCTGTACCAGAGCTCCCAGCACAGTGCTGAACTGGCAAGTACTTGCTGAGAGCCTGAATGGTTGAGCAAATGCTCAGCCCCTAGGGCGACTCTGCTGGGGGGTGGGGAATGAGAAGGCCTCAAGGACACACTGGAGGGAAGAATGAGTACAGAAGGTTGCAGGGCAGTTTAAAGGGTAGATAAGAAAGATCAATGACATTGCTGGGGGTGGAGTGGCCAGAAGGACAGAACAAATGAGCACCCAGGATAAAGGTGAGGGAGGAACAGCCCCCTAGAGGCAGCTGGCCCTGAGCTGGGGCTTCAGGGAGGCTGAAGAAGAGAAAGTCAAGTCTCAGAAGACAGAAGTGACACTTCAGGGAAAGAGCACAGAGTGTGGATGCAGTGGATCTGAACTTCAGCCCTGGCTCTACCTGTAAGCAAACCGCTAATCCTGGGAGTCCAAGAGTCACCCTCTCTGAGGCTGCTACAGAACTAGGCTGAGGGTGACACCCCTGTAACCTGAGTGGTGTCCGCTGGAATCTTTGTCCTGTCTCCCTCGAGCCCCCTCCCCGTCCTCTCCAGCCTTGAGGGCTGTCTCCCCAGAGTATGTGCAGTAATTCCCAGGAATGTTGCACATTGTAAACAGCAGAGTCTTGTGTTTTAAAAAAACGAGTCCTTACAGAAACAACCAGACACTGAAGAAAGTCTGGAGGAATGGGGCACTGCGAGTGGGGCCTGAGAAAGAACTGCATCGCCTTAATCATGCTTCTTCTCCCGAGATTTCTTTTGCCACTGCCAGCTTTCTCCCCAAAGATACTTTTGCTCAGGCTTTTGCATTTCTTTCCCACTCAACCCAACCTGCCCTTTGTTTACAAGTCACTGCATCCAGGAGGCCTTCCTGAAATCATTCCCACACATTCTCCAATCGGTCAACATAATCCTCAGCCCACCGTCACACCCCACTTTACAACTCTAACTACAGCTCTCTATGGATGATGGATACACCCTGTGCACCATCACACTCCCTAGCCCAGCAGGGGTGGATACTGGTGGATGAGGGACACACTTCATCTGCCTTCACACTTCCTGAGGACAAAGACCTGGACTGTCTGGTCCATAGTCTCTCAACCATGTCTCTCTGCCTTAAAGCCTCCTAAAGATTTGTGGACTCTTTGAAAGGATGGGGATGTCATGGAAATGGAGGAGAGCCAGACTGAAGAACAAACAAAATGAAAAAGAAGCAGGAAGAGAAGGAAAGAAAGTAGCAGATGGGCTAAGGCCTGCCCCACCTCCAGCACCTCCGGATGCAGGTTCACACTTTCCAAAGTACCCAGGAGACCTCCTGGAAGCAGCCGGAAAGGGGTGGGGACAGGCATGAGGGTGGTACCTGTATTAACATGATACTAACAGAGAGGCCGGATCCAGTCATGGTCAGTTGGTCAGTTGGCTGGCAAAGCCAGGCCAGCATGCACCAACAGTCACCCCCACCCATGCAGGTCTCTGGAGATAGAATGAGCCCAGGACAGGGATCAGAGGGGTCAAGGCAGAGTTGCGGGATTCTGGTGAGGGAGGGGGAAAGCCTTGAGAAGTGAGACATTTCCTGGCAATGCCCGTCTCCAAATGTCCACCCCCTGTACTATATGTCTGAGAACCATTAGGCGTGAGCTCATGGGAAGCACCAAGTAGAGGCTGAGAGGAAGGAAGCATCGTTAGCAGGTTAGCAGGAATCCCTAACGTTTGTTTATTGAGGGCATGTGATGGTTAGACCATGAGCTTCTCCAGCACAGACTGAATGCCATGCCTCATACTACATGAGCGTCCCCCAGCACCATGCTTGACTTCTGCCAGGGTGGAATGACCATTGGCCAAGAAGGAGAAGAATATTGTGCACATTTAGAAGGTCTAAGCTGAGTCTGTCAGAAGACACTTCACTTTGCCCAAGTGGTGGCAGGCAGTTCAGTGGCTGGGTATACAGTAAAACCTTGGTTTGCGAGCAGAGTTTGTTCCACAATTATGCCTGTAATCCAAAGTACTTACACATCAAAGTGAATTTCCCCATAAGAAATAATGGAAACTCAGAGGATTGGTTCCACAATCCATCATTCATATAAAAATGATTACAATACTGTAATATAATACAAAATAATAAAGAAAATACAAAATATAAAGAGAAATAAAGACATTAACCAGCACTGACCTTTGAAGATCATCGTGGCTAGTGTGAGGGAGACAAGACAGAGGAGGGTTACTGTGTAGGACGACTTTCATTGTCACTAAAGGAATCACTGCTGTCTACTGGCTCAATGGAATCTTCTTCTGTGGGGGGACCATTGTATACACTCTCATGGATGTTGACGACAGTGCAGTATTAATAAACTCTTGTCATAGACTGTATTTAATGTAACTGGCAACAAGGCAGCAGAAGAAAGGGTCTATACCTGCAGGTAGCCTGACCTAGAATGAAGCAAAGCATTCCTAAGCTCACTCTTGTCTGGAAAAGCAAAGGACTGACCATAGGTACTTGAAAGTGACAAAAAATACACTAGTACCAGTTGTGGACACCTTCCAATGTCCTGAAAAATCACTGATTTCTGCCAAACACCGCGGCCTGAGACTGAGGACCTGAACATGGGAGATGATCCCCACAATCCTGCAGAGGTAGAGAGAGAAGGACCATTGGCTCAGTTGTGATCATGTGATGTTCCACATCACGCACTACTCTATTGTAAGACATCACTCGTTTATCAAGTTATAACTTATTAGAAATGTTTGCTCGTCTTGCAGAACAAGATACTCGCAATCAAGGTTTTACTGTCTATTTATTGAGAGCTGCTGTGTGCCAGGCACTGTACCAGGTTCAGGGAAGGCGTGGTGAACACAGTAAAGGCTGGGTTCCTGTTCCTATAAAACTACCTTCTATTGGACAGAAACAGCCCGAAACAGATAACCAGATCATTTCAGATAGTGATAAATACCACAAAGACAGTACATCTGGGTAAAGATGAGGAAAACAACTCGAGATACGATGGGGAAAGATGGCCCATCTTGAATGTGTTCCATGTGGCTTGCACCCTGGATGACAAGATGGACACAGCCTCGTCTGGCTCTGGCGGAAGCGGGGCCCAAGCAAGTGCACAGACCTGGCAGCGAGATCAGCCTGCATATGGTCAAGGAGCAAACAGTATAAGGCCCTGAATCTAGCACAGCGAAACGGGGCCTGACGTGGGGAGGGCAGGTCCATCTGCACACCTCATCCTCATCATGTGACACAGCAGGTCACCCTGTGGCTAAACATTGGAAATGCCTGGAAAGCTATTAAAACCCCTGATGCCTGGCCTCCCATCCACAGAGATTCTGTTTAACTGACCTGAGGTGTCTCCTGGACATGGGGAAGCTAAAAGCTGCCCAGATGATTCTCATGTGAGTGAACAAGAATGGAGCCACGGAGCAGGTGGCACGTGCGGGCCGCAGCAGGCACTTGCGTTGGTGAATGCAAGCTCTCTGAACACACTCACACACCGTTTCCCCACCTCTCCAGGCCCAGATCCAGAGAGGACCCAATGTCTGAGAGGCCCTGAGGTGGGGACGGAACCAAGAAGTTGAAGCAATCCAAAGGAAAAGAGAAAGAGAATGGACGAGAAGGCCAAGCGACATAAGGAACTCCAGAAGATGTGACAGATTGAAGGGGCAAAAACGAACAGGTGCAGACATTCCCAAAGGATCAGAGACTGCTGGACAGGGGAAAGCAGAGACTGCTGTAGCAAACGATCACAAACGTAAGCCACACACCCTCACCTCACAGTACTGCAGCTCAGAAGTCTGAGATGGGTCCTACTGGAATAGAGTCCGGCTGTCAGCAGGACTGGAGTCCTCCTGGTGTCCATTGCCTTCCTTCTCTGGCTCTGAGGGGCTGTCTGCTTCCTCTGCACACAGCCCCTTCCTCAGTGTTCAGTCAACAGTGTTAGGCTGAGTGCTTCTCACACGTCTCGTGCTGGCTGCCCTCTTCTGCTTCTCTCCCCGCCTTTAAGGATGTTGTGGGGGCGCCTGGGTGGCTCAGTTGGTTAAGCTTCCGACTTGGGCTCAGGGGATGATCTCACGGTTTGTGGGTTCGAGCCCCATATCGGGCTCTGTGCTGACAGCTTGGAGCCTGGAGCCTGCTTCAGATTCTGTGTCTTCTCGTTCTGCCCCTCCCTCACTTGTGCTCTGTCATGTCTCTCAAAAATAAATAAATGTAAAAGAAAAAAAGGATGTTGTTGTGGACCTAGAGTAATCTCCCTGTTTCAAACCCAACTGATCAGCAACCCTAATTCCATCTGCAAGCTTAATTCCCCTTTGCCCTGGAAGGTAACATATTTACAGGTTCCAGGAATTAAGACCGGGGCGTCTTGGGGGACCGTGACTCCATCTTCCACAGCACGAAAGCCCGTTTTACGAAACAAGTTAGGGTCATGTCCATAGCTGTATGTCTTATGAGCACTGAGTGGAGAGGTTTGTTCCAAGATAAATACACATGTGTTTATTTGTGCGGGTTTATCAGGGCGTCCAATTTGAGTGTCTCCCCGGTAAGTATGGAGCAGAGGGGAGCAGAAGGGTGCCTCAAGGGCTGCCTGATCCTTATTGTGTTTATCCTCATGCTGCTGCTCCGTAACAACCCACTGCTGCCCTATTGTTGTTCTTATTGACAATGACAGAGTGTCTCTTGAGTGTTTTCTTTGAGTATGTCTCTGTGTCCCTGAGTAATCCTGGGTGTCCACCCGTGATATTCAGTGTGTCGAAAGGGAGCACACCTGTGGGGTCTGCATCACGTGAAGGCATCTGTCTGTGGGGAATGGACGTGGATGGAGGAGCACAGGTCTGTACGACAGTGTACATGAGCACATGTGGACAGATGTGTAGTCGCCCACAGACCCTGCAGGGCCGCCAGATGGAAAGGCCTGCCGTGAGAGCAGCAGAGAAACTAGCAGGTGGAGGGCGTGGGAAGAGAGGAGAGAAGAGCTGGGAGAAGGAGAGGGGGAACTGAGAGGAAAGATCAGAGCGGGGAGTTCGGAAAGCAGAGGGGAGTTTCAGGGATCTCAGATAACACAGAGGCAGGGTGGAGCCACAGCAAGGGGGCGATCAGAGCTGGCCGTCGCTCTGCTTCTGGTTCCTCCCTGGCCTTGTGACCTGGCGCAGCCAGCTCTCTGGGCTGCTGTTTACCGAGAGACTTGAAATAGATAAGCCATGGGTACATCCCAAGGAAGGGGAGAGAGGGAAACGTGGAAATAAAAAGACAAACCAGGAAAACCTGAGAGGAAGAACTAGAGAGAGAGAGGTAGGGAGAGAGTAGTAAGGGAGGCCCAGCCCCATGCAGAACTGGCTGCTGGAGGCCTGAGCGGGGCGCCTACTCCCCCACTCCCGTACCCCACAGCTTCAGAAGGTTCTTAATCCCTTAATAGGTAAGGCAGCAGGACGGAAAGGAGAGAGTCTCCAGGAATGACAGCACACACCAGCACTCGAGGCCCGGATCCCTGCTCCCGCCCCCAAACCCAAACCCGGGGAAGTGGGTGTGCCGGCCTCCTGGAGTGACTCACACCCCGGCAATGTGGGGACACACGCCGAAAGCGAGCCTGGGCGGCCTGCCCACCGGTTCAGCACAAGCCCGGGGGGAGGGGGGGAGCTGAGATTGGGGCCCCGGAGGGGTGACGGGGGGCGCCTCCCCCTGCCCGCGCGGTGCGGCCTTGCCCCCAGAGCGCCCCCTCCCGACCACCTGCTTGCCACGAGGACCCGGACGCGCGCGCCTCCCGGCCTCCTCCCCCAGACCCTGCCCGCGAAGCCGGAGAACCTGGTGAGCTGTTGCGCAAGGCCCGGTGTTTACCTGCCGCGGGGACCTCCTCCTCCCTATAAAGCCTGACGCGGCGGGGAGAGCGGCGGAGGCTGGGACTGCTCGGAGAGGGGGCCGGAGGGCGCCCGAAAGTCCATGTGCCAGGCGGGGGTAGCGCCCCCAGCTCGCCTCGCAGCACGCGCCGTCCGCAGGCCGCGAGGGTCCCGGCAGGCCCGGCGCCGGGGCGCGCGCTCCCCATGGAGGCGCCCGAGCTGGGCCCGGGGCTGGTGGAGCGTCTGGAGCGGCTGGCGACGTGCCCGCTGTGCGGGGGCCCCTTCGAGGACCCGGTGCTGCTGGCGTGCGAGCACAGCTTCTGCCGCGCGTGCCTGGCCCGCCGCTGGGGCGCCCCCCCCGCCGCCGGGGCCCCGGCGCCCGCGCCCGCCTGCCCCTGCTGCGGCCGGCCGTGCCCCCGCCGCAGCCTGAGGTCCAACGTGCGGCTGGCGGTGGAGGTGCGCATCAGCCGCGGGCTGCGGGAGAAGCTGGCGGAGGCCGGCGCCGGCGCGGGGAAGCGCAGGGGGGGCCGCATCCCCACCATGGGCTGCCTGGACCCCCGCGGAGAGGTGAGGCGGGGCCGCGGGGGGCGTGGGTGACGGCCGTGCCGGGCAGGACGAGGGGGAGCAGGTCACACGTCACACGCGCCCGGAGGGCAGGAGACCGAACCGGACGCGGGACCTCCGGGGCCCCGGCGCGGGGCGCGGGAAGCGCGGGGGGGGCGAAAAGGGACGCGGCGAGGCGCCTGGGAGCTGGAGACCCGGCGGGGTCTTGGGGGGGCGGCGCGGAGAGGGAGACTCGGCGCGAGAAGCCGCTGGAGCGGAGGGGCGGGTGCCGGGGGGCTGTCCGGGCAGCTAGGGCCGCGTCCCCGCGGATGCTGTCGGTGACTGTCGTCCTCGGCTCCTCCCAGGGCCCCCGGTGGGAGCGGTGACGGGTGGAGTGGGGGCCCGGGAGCCGGCGGCCCAGCCTGCGGCCGCGCCCCTCGCGAGCCCCGACTCCCTGCCGGACCCTCAGGCGTCCCGGACTCCTGACTGGCTTCTCCCCAGCAGCCTAGCCGGTCTCGGGTCTTGCTTCCACACTTTGAAGTCTACATAGACCTAATTAGTCCGGGTGTAATTGGCGTAATTAGGCAAATCGCCTTCCTCTCTTCCCTTCGCCGCCACACTGGGCCCCCCCAGTCATCCCCACCGGACAGTGGGGGGGGGGGAAGGGGGGACCCTGGTACTTGGAGGAGGGCATCCAGCGCTGTGTCCCGATCTGCTGGACCTCCTGGGACACACCCTTGGCTAAGGCAGAGAGACACAAAGCCAACGACCCAATAAATGCCACTGGGCTTTTATGACAACAGGGGAAGCAGCTTTATTACACGGCTTTTATATACCAACTCTTAGCCCCAGGGCTCTGGGGGGTTTGGTCGGAGTGATGGAGAGGAGGGACAGCCTCAGGAAGGTGGGTTAGGGTAGGGAACCATGAAAGACACGGAATGAAGCCGGGGGAGGTAGCAGGGAGTGGTAAGGACTCTGAAGGGTGAGGGCGCCAGATCCCAGGCATGGATGAAGCTGCGGTAGGTGAGGAGGGAAGCAGGCGGTGACGGAAAGGAAGGAAGGGCCAAGACAGGAAAAGGGCAAGAATGAGGAAAGGGGGAGCACAGGGGTAAAGAGGCGAGGTCACTGTGAGAGGTGGCAGGGTCCCACCAACGGAGACCCGGGAGGGGGAGGACGGGGCGGGCTGCCCAGGACGGAAGCCCAGAGCTCACATCCGTGTTCTCTTCTGCCCATCCCAGGATACAAGGAAGACATGGAGGAGGTGAGTTACGCTTTAGTGTCGCTTCCTTTCCACCATCAGCGGCCACGTCCAGCACCTTCCCTGTGGGCTCACATCTCTGTCCTCACTCATACACGGCATTTCGGGGCGCGACCTCACCCCTCCCTGCCCCAGAGATGTCAGTGGAGTCTGGGTGGGGGCGTCAGAGGGCAGTAGGTGCCTACCGACTTCCTGACCTTTCTCCCTCATCTGTCCAGACTTGATGCCCCGACACCCAAGTCATCTAACTCAGACGACGATGTCCCCGAAGATTATCCAGTGGTCAAAAACATGCTGCACAGACTGACAGGTAAGGACGCACTGAGTGACAGACTGTGTCACGTTCGCTCCTTCTTGCCTCAGACGTGACGGCGACTTTTCTGAAGTCTGTATGCGTTCCCTGGGGCTGCGCTGAGCACCGCACGGGGAGGGGCTCGACCACAGCTCCGCGAGGGAGGCTGGACGCGGCTCGTAGGTGCGACGGGCTCCCGCGAGGCCCGGCCTCTTCCCAGCCCTCCTCCTGCAGAGAGGCCCTCACGTGCCTTCTTGTTTCGCTTCTGTTCCCATTCATCTCTGGGGCCAAACTTGCTCCTTTTATGACACTAGTAACACTGGGCCAGGGCCTGCCCTAATGACCTTATTTTAACTTAATTACCTCTGTAAACGCTCTATTTGCAACTAAGATCACGTTCTGAGGTCCTGGGAGGCGGCAAAATATCTTTTTTGGGGGAACACAATTTGACCGGGAACGTCTATCCTCAGTTCTTCATATTCCAGCAATCCCACCCCCCTTACCTGTCACAGCCCCTGGAGGTCAGCTGCTTCTGAGGACTCCGTCCCCGGGGCTCTGGGCCTTATCTGCGGCTCCTGGAGGCCCCTCCTGGCTCACTACCAAAGCTACCAGCCCGAGGGGCACCTGCCTGGCTCAGTGGGTAGAGCATGCAACTCTTTGTGGGGGGGAGGGGAAGGGAGGAGCGGGAGAGAGAAAATCTCAAGTGGGCTCCACACCCAGTGCAGAGCCTGACGGACTCAGGGCTTGATCCCACGATGCTAGGATCATGACCTAAGCTGAAATCAAGAGTCAGTCGCTCAAGTGACTGAGCCACCACCCAGGTGCCCTCCTTTTCTTTTTCGAACATGCAAACGCCTGATCTCAGGGTTGTACGTTTGAGCCCCACATAGGGTGTAGACCTCACTTACAAATAAAATCGTAAAAAGAAAAAACGTGCCAGGAAAGGTGCCCCACACTCCTGTCACCTACCATCCCACACCGCCCAGGATGCTTCTAGCACCCCCAGTCCAGAAACCTTTTCTGAAAAGCAAACCATACACACGAGGCTGTGATTATTTCTCCCCTCCCCTGCCCCAGCTCCCTGTGGAAATGAGTCAGTCCATTCCCACTTTCGCTTGGGGTCCCAGCATCTCCTGCCAGTCCTCTTCAGATCGACCTTCCCCAGACGGCTGACCTGCTCCCACGCCCCGCCCCCTCTCCTTGCCCCTCCCTGCAAGTGGGATCAGCCCCACAGTCCAGGCAGCCTCTCCTTTGGTCTCCGCACTGCGCCGCCTGCGCCGGGCCAGCTGTACAGGAGCGGCCCCCGTGCCGGCGGGTGCCTCCTCCCACTCGGGCCCCACGGCGCCTTTGGAGCCACCGGGAGGCCTCTCTGGTGCCCCCTGCCGCATCATCTCCCCCGGCCTCTGACTCTGTCCCCCTCTGCCCCTCCGCAGCCGACCTGACCCTGGACCCAGGCACTGCACACCGCCACCTGCTCGTCTCGGAGGACCGCCGCGGCGTCCGGCTGGCCCCGCCAGGGACCCCCGCGCCCCCCGACGGCCCCGCGCGCTTCGACCAGCTCCCGGCGGTGCTGGGCGCGCAGGGCTTCGGGGCCGGCCGGCACTGCTGGGAGGTGGAGACCGCGGACGCCGGCGCCGGGGACGCCGAGGCCGAGGACGGCGGCGAGGCGCGCTTCGCCCTGGGCGCGGCCGGCGAGTCCGTGCGGCGCAAGGGCCGCGTGGGGCTGTGCCCAGCGGGGGCCGTGTGGGCCGTGGGGGCCCGCGGCGGCCGCCTGTGGGCGCTCACGGCGCCCGAGCCCACGCCCCTGGGCGGCGCGGGGCCCCCGCCGCGGCGCATCCGCGTGGACGTGGACTGGGAGCGCGGCCGCGTGGCCTTCTACGACGGGCGCTCGCTCGACCTGCTCTTCGCCTTCCAGGCGCCCGGGCCGCTGGGGCAACGCGTCTTCCCGCTGCTCTGCACCCGTGACGCCCGCGCCCCGCTGCGCCTCGTGCCAGCCGAGGGCTGAACCTCCCCCTGCAGCCCCCCACCGGTGCGGGGGCCGCGTCCAGCCACACGGTCTCTTTTCTCCCAACCAGGAAGACGTCGGCTGGCCTCGGGCTTCCGGCTCCTCCCTGTGGGACGCTTCTCCCCCACCGCTTCCCCAGTACTTGCCACCTGCCTCTCCCTGCTGCCTGCTGCTCCAGACCTGAGCTGGGGAACAGGCCCTGCCCCTCGATGCTGGCGATCGGCGGGGGGGGGGGGGGGGGGGGGTGTCCACTACACAGAGGCTCCGCTAGTCTAGCCTTCCCTTCCCACTCCTGCCTCTGCTGGTCTCAGAGGGCCCATGGCCGCCTCCTCAGGCCATGGCTCCAGCTTCCCAGCCCTATCCAATCTGGGGTTTCTTCACCGCGCTCTGGCCTGGCTCTAAGGGCCCTCCATGGGGCTCAATACCGTTTTGGGAAGGCGGCAGGCCAAGTCTATTCCATGGTGACTGCTTTCTCTGCTCACAGCCTTTTCCCATTAGTAACCTTCTTGACTCTCCCCTACACACACACAGACACACACACACACGGTGCTACCTCCCTCTCTTTAGCCTGGGGATGGCCCAGCCACCCCAAACTCATCCCTGTACATAGCTTCACATCTTTCCCCATGTGTATAAATGGGCCCGTATTTAACACGTTTTGTGACGTTGGGTTATTTATTTTATGCTACTGTGGCAATAAATGAGATTTCAGTGGTGGTATGATTTGACTCATCTCTGCAACTGTGCATGGCAAGAAGCCTAGGAAATGATCTCAATATCCCAGTAAGGAGTGGGGAGGGCTGAAAGCTGGGCATCTGGGCTGGCAGAGACCTCGAAGCCTAGGAAGGAAGGGGCAAGAGTGTAGTGAAAGGGACGTATCCCCTTCTCTTTGCCCCTCCCTTTTCCTTCCTCTCCCAGGGACCCAGGGCCCTGGGACTAAGCTGGATCTGTCTCTGAAGCCAGAAGTCGGAGAAGGCTGGCTCTAAGTCACCAGTCTCCAAGCCAGCTTTGTCACATCCTGTGTCATGTGAGAAGGGTGAGGAGAGGCCATCACTATTTCCTTTTCCATTTTCCATGAAAGGTGAGAAAGCAAAGACCTCTCTCTCTCCCAGCCCCTCTGGAGGGCATGAGGGTATAGGGCTGGGGGCCCACACATCCCAGAGGCTTACATAAATACATTACTGGAAGAACTCTAAGCCAGGATTAACATGCGTAGCTGGGGCGAAATTGCCCAGAATCTGACTGGGGCCCTGGCAGTGAAGGCTGGGACTGCTGAAAACCCAATTTAAGTGTTTTGGACTGAACTAGAGAATGCAAGGGGCCAAGAGACTGGATCCCAGGACAGGCAGTTTGGCAGTGAGAACGAGGGGAAGAGACTGGGACCAAGATGCCTGGATCCCAGGAGAGCAGAGGATGAGGACTGAAAGGAAGAATGAGGGCTGGGAGAACCCGGAAGCCTGGGTTCTGGAATAGCAGCAAGTCAGAATTCCAGGATCTCTGTCTACCTTCCTCTCCTCTTCCCTCTGTCAGGCAGAGGAGACGGCAGGAGGGGGCTGGAGAAAGGGTCAAACCATGAGTTTAGTCCCCAAGTAGCCACATGAATACATTCAGGGCCAGACAAACATAGGAATGGTGGGGCAGAGAGGAATTTAGTGCTGCATTGGCCCTGGAGGGGGTTGGGAGGGGTCAGGAGGCTGGGGAGGGGTGCTGGGGCTTGGTCCTGGGGTTGCACGACGCCGTCCCTTGCGGTGGCCCCGTACACAGTGTGTATGACCACAGCCCTCCTCTTCCTCCTCATCACTCTCGGTGGAACTCTCGCCAAAGGCCCGAGGTTTCTCATAAATACAGCAGCCTGGATTTGGAGGGAGGAGCCCAGTAAAAAAGGAGCAAAGGTTAAGATACAGTCAGTTCCTCACCCACCAGATCTCAGTAATAACTTGCTTCCCCTGTGCAGGACCAACTTCCCCAGGCCCAACCCCCCAGGGATTCAGGCCCCCAAACCCTCCTCCTGTTGGCCAGGGTCCAAAGCCCTACTTCTCCCCACTGATACCCACTGCCTTCAGGCCCTGGCCTGTCCCAGGACAAGCCCCTCTCTCCTTCTCCCTCCAGTCTTAGCCTCGTGTCCCTGATGCCCAGAATCACCGAGGCAGTGACAGGTCCCTGGGCAGGTGTGAACAGGTGTGAGAAGGCAACAGGCCTGTGGGGAGGTGTGAGCAGGTGTGAGAAGGTGGCAGTGCCCAGTCCCTGGGCAGGTGTGAGCAGACACAAGCACGTGGCAGACAGGCCTGTGGGTAGGTGTGAGCAGGTGTGAAAAGGCAGCAGATAGGCCTGTGGGCAGATGTGGGCAGGTGTGAGCAGATGCAGATGGAGCCACTCACACTTTGATGAGCGGCGCCCCATGTGCTCATTGTCCACAGTGTCACTCGTCCATTCTACCTTCTTCTCTGGCTTCCGCTTCCGTAGTTTGATGGTCAGGCTCCGGTTCTCCTGGAAGGTTAAGGACAGGCAGACCCGGCTAGCCCCCTCCTCCTGACCTGCCCAGCTGCCTCCCGGGGGGACCCAGTTCAGTCAGTGCCCTAGACAGAGCCATAGAGAAGTCAAGCGCTGGGAAAGGGCAACTGAAGCAGGTGTCTGGACCTTAGCGAGCTCCCCTGGGATTGTGACAACTGCTAGGACACAGGGAAGACACAGTCCCTAACCTAGGGGAGGTCCCAGCCCCTCTTCAAGGGAAAACAAATCCTCGCTGTTTCTCCATCTTCCTCCCCAAGTCCTCCTTGGTAGTGTTAGTACCTGAACATGATTTCCTCAGTCCCCAGTACCTACTCCTTGATCCCCACTAGAGAAAGCACCACTCCTTGCCCCTCTCATCCTCAAGCCCGGCGCTTCCTTCTTACCTACCTATCCTATCGCACCCAGGCGTCCCCCCATAACCCAGGGGTAATGACGCCCAGTACACCTTCTCCTTCTGAAAGCAACTCAACCTGTTCTTGCAAGCATGCTACTTGTGTCTCTATTTCTCAACAATCTTCCATCTCTTTCTCGTTCCCGCGTCTCCTGCACCTCCCTTCACGCCCACCCCTTGCACAAACACGTGCTGACAGATGAGCTGGCGGCCAGCCTGCCTACAGCCGAGCCCTCTCACCAAGCCCTTCGTTCCCCGCCGCCCCCGGCACCCGGGGCTCCGGTCCCGGGGTCTCCAGCCCCGCGCGCAGCAGCACCTGCGCCCCGACTCTAACTCTCCGTCACGTGTCTCCTGCCCACCCTCCTGCAGCATCTCTGCCACTGCCCAAAGCCCCAGTGCCTGGCGACTGTCCCGGCCCAGGTATCCGACCCCACTCTGCCCACAGCCCTATCCCCTCCCTCCCCGTATCACCGCCCCCCCTCCCCCGCCTTTCTCACGGGCTCAGTTGTCACGGTAACCGTTGTCTCAGTGACGGTCTCACTCAGCCCGGCCCCTGCCTCGGCCATGGCTAAGGCTGAGGACAGGGAGGAGCGCAGGAAGGGGGACGACACGCCCTTCCCTTTCTCTGTGTCTCTGAGCTCTAAGCGAATCGGGGTCGGACTCAGAGTGGCAGCCAGGATCCTCCACCTTCTTTTTTTCCCCCTCCTCCTGGGCCTCCGCTTCCCCACCCCTGGGGAGAAGCTGTCCAGCCCCACTTCCGGCTCGCTGCTTCCGGGTGTGACGCACCCCGTAGTTCCCCTTCTCTCTTCCCCGCACTGCACGCGTTTAAACGCAGGCGTCGCCGGATTAGTTCCGCCGTAACGTGACAGTGCGCAGGCGCCGCCAGCTGGAGCCTCCAACTTGGCGGAAGAGGCGTCACTGCGGGTGTTGCGCATGGGCAGTGGGGCGCATGCGCGGCCGAGTCGCGCCAGGAGGGGCGGTCCGGAAGGGCAAAGCCCATCCGGCACCGCGGCGCGGGTTGGAGGTGCGGAGGTAGGGGTGCGGCCCTGGGTGCAGTGGGGGTGGGGGTGAGGATGCGGGTGCTGCCTGGTGCAGTAGGGGTGGGGGTGCAAGGGAGACCACCCGTCCCGGCGGCAGTAAGACCACCACCCGCCCAGGACCTGTCTTCGTTTCCTTGCCTCTGGGAATGGAGAATTGGGCCCCAGGAGCAGGTGGGAGAACCTGATCAAGAATGAGTTGTGGGGTGGGGAGCGCCTGGGTGGCTCAGTCCCTTGAGCGCCAGACCGTTGATTACCAGTTGGGTCATGATCTCAGGGTCGTGGGTTGGAGTCCTTCGTGGGGCTCCACATTCACAGCGCAGAGCCTGTGAGAGATGCTTTGTCTCAAAATAAATAAACCTTAAAAAATAAAATAATGGGTCTGGCTGTCGCCCAGTGTCTGCAGGTGTTGGGGCAAGGTTCTTAATGGCACCTTCAACTGGGATTATTATTGCCTGGCGCTGTGTACCCCCTTACAGCTCCCAGCCTGATGGGGAAGGCTGGCCTGCGTAGGACTAACATCTAAGACACGGATACTAATCTCCTCTGTGAAGCTCAATGTAGTTACTTCTTGCCAACAAGCTCTCTGGGGTGGAGAGGAGTACAATCAGGCACAGAAATGGCCATAAATATATGCGATGATAGAAATATGTGGATGTTTCTCAGAAAGCAAAAGATGGGTAAAGGGAACTGGAAGGCAGGCAAATGACTTTTCGTTAGGTAGAAAGCTGCTTACAAACTCGGTGTGTGCACTGAAGAAAATGCAGTTTTGCATTGCTTAGGATGTAAGAGTGTCAAGTGAGCCTTGGCAAGTAGGTGCGGTTATGTGGGAGGTCCTGTATGCTGCTCAGAAACTTAGACCTTACCCAGTCGGTGTTATGGGCCAGGGGAGGCTTAAAATGGGGTGGATAAAACAGATTTATTTCAGATTTCAGAAGTGGGGTGGTTATAGTTCAAATGCACAGTAAAGTCTGCCCTGCCCATCCTCCAAGTTGCTGTGGGGGACAGACAAGACAGGGTAGGAGCACCTGGGTGGCCCAGTCTGTTAAGTGTCCGACTTCAGCTCAGGTCATGGTCTCACGATTCATGAGTTCGAGCCCCGCATCAGGCTTTGTGCTGACAGCCTGGATCCTGCTTCAGATTATGTGTCTCCCTCTCTCTCNCCCCCCCCCCCCCCCCCCCGTCACACTGTCTCTCTCTCAAAAATAGACAAACATTAAAAAATTAAACAGGGGCACCTGGGTGGCTCAGTCGATTAAGTGTCCGACTTTGGCTCAGGTCATGATCTCGCGGTTTGTGGGTTTGTTCCCACGTCCGGCTCTGTGCTGGCAGCTGGCTCAGAGCCTGGAGCCTGCTGCGGATTCTGTGTCTCCTCTCTCTCTCTCTGACCCTCCCCTGCTCGCGCTGTCTCTCTCTCAGAAATAAATAAGACATTAAAAAAAATTAAAAAACAAAAACAAGACAGGTTAAGTTTGAGAGCTCTGAACATATAAAAGGCCACACAGTTACAAGGTAATCATGGTTACCTGTCACCCTTTGATCACTAAGCCAAGGAACGCAAAAATACAGATTTCCAGAGTAAATCTGAGTATGTTGCATTTGGACTACAAGTTTTTGCTTCAAACTGATAAAAATCAAGATACAACTCAGCATGTATAGTAAAGCTCATTAAAAAACACAAAGTGTGCAGTATGATTCACAGAAAAAAATGCTTTTCTTTTTTTTTTAGTTTTATTTATTTCTAGGAGAGAGAGAGAGAGACAGCGTGAGCAGGGGAGGGTCAGAGAGAGAGGGAGTCACAGACTATGAAACAGACTCCAGGCTCTGGGCTGGCAGTCAGCACAGAGCCCGACGCGGGGCTCGAACCCACGAACCGCGAGATCATGACCTAAGCGAAAGTCAACGGTTAACCGACTAAGCCACCCAGGCGCCCCAATGCTCTTTTCTTTCTGCCTCTCTATATATGAATCCATTATGATGAATATGTATTACATTTGTCTCAAGGGCAGTAACAAAACAATTTTCAAAGTGTCCACCTGTAACAAGTACATACTGATATCCCTTAATATCAGATGTTTTGTTGTCCAAATTCACATGTCAAAGATCTGGTTAAATTACCTGTTGAATATCCTACTCTTCCAACTCCTACATTTGTTTCCCTAAACTCAGGAACCAAATATATTTAGTGATGGAATACTTATAATTACATTTTTTATATTAGTCCCATTCTTGGCTCTTTTTGGTCCTTTTTTTTTCCCCCCTCTTGTATTAATTTATATTATTTTTTGTAGCTCATATACTTACTGAAAGAACAAAATGAACTCTGTGAGTTCATTTAAATTCCTGTTGGAACAAGACATATTATAAATAATACACAGATGTCTGGCTTATATAAAAAATATAACTTTTAATAAGGAAACAACTAGAGTATGTGTACTCTGGGGACAATGGCACATGATAATGTCCTGTGGGAGCAAAACATTGCAACTAGGATGGACAAGGGAAGAACCCAATATCCTTCACCTTTCAAGGAAAAGAAGAGGAAGAGATTGCTGAGTCACCCAGAAAAAAAATTAAGAGTCTTCTTTCTCCTGAAACCTATGGAGAGAGAAAGGAGTCATTATATTTGAGCAAAAGAAGAGGCTCCAGCCTAAGACAAGACATTTGATTAAAAGATCAAGGAGGAGGTACACCTGGGTGGCTCAGGTCATGCTCTCACAATTCATAGGTTCAAGACACAAGTTGGGCTCTGCTGACAGCGTGGAGCCTCCTTGGGATTCTCTGTCTCCCTCTCTCTCTGCCCCTCCCCTGCTGGCACTCTCTCTTTCAAAATCAAATAAACATTTTTTTTTTTTTTAAGTTAACAAATGGGGCACCTAGCTGGCTGATTCAGGGAGCATGGGAGTCTTGATCTTGGGGTTGTGAGTTTGGAGGTAGAGCTTAAAAATAAAATCTTAGAACATCTCCTAAGGTTGGGTGGCTCAGTCGATGGAGTGTCTCTTTTTGTTTAGTTTGAGAGAGAGCAAGTTGGGGGAAAGGGGCAGTGTGGGGGAGGGCAGAGAATCACAAGCAGGCTCTACAGACAGATCCCAATGTGGGGCTGGAAGTCAGGGGCTGCGGGCTGGGGCTGAGGATTCTGTGTCTCCCTCTCTTTCTGACCCTCCCCTGTTCTCACACACTCTCTCTCTCTATCTCTCTCTCTCTCAGAAGTAAATAAAAAACGTTAAAAAAAAAAGTTCTAGAATGTGAGAGTTGAAAACATGGGGGGGAAAGTGAGACTTAGTGAGATAATGGCTGATAATTTTCCAAGGACGATGGGGAAAAATAATCCTATTTTAGGAAGTCCAGCAAATCCCAAACAGGATCAAGAAAGTACATCTTGATTTGGTCTGGTGAAACTACAGAACACCAAAAACAAAGGAGTGAAGGCATCCCTGATTAAAGCTCAGAAAAGGAAAACTACCTCGAGTGTAGAGGAGATTCCAACATACCATGCTGACCACTGGGCAATACTTGCCTTCTGCATTTTTCATTTTCCTTTTACATATCTCAAAAGGTTTAGTTCACTGGTTATAGAAAGGATAAGGGAAATGTGATTTTCAAAAATAAAAAACCCACAAATACCCCTATTACCTGAATTGTATAGAAATGACGGATAGGACAGAAAAACTAATGGTTTATCGCGCACAAGGAGCGTATCAGCGCATCTGTGTGATTAGTGAACAAAGAAAGGGCAGAGGGCAGCAGGACACGCACCTGCAGCTGGTGCAGGTGTAGAAGACCGTCTGCCCCTCGTCGGCTGAGCGCATCTGCCGAGTGTGGTAGGCCATCCCCTCGTGGCCGCAACGCGAGCAGCGCCGGTCCACCTGGCGGGTCAGCACGGGCGGGTCAGGGGGCCCTGAGGGGCCTGCCCAGAACCAGAGCTCACGGTCCTCACACCACACGCCGCTGCTGCAGAGACCCCCGCTTCCCCCTCTGGGATCTGGGTCCCGATCTCCGCGCTCACCCCTGCATTTCCTCCCTGCCCTCCTCCCGGGGCGGGTCCACGACGTCGGGAACTTACCACGGGCCCCTGGAACTCAGGCCCGTCGTCCGCCGCCACGGGCACCGCCGTCCCCACCTTGTGGAACACAAACGTGGTCTTAACCACCTTCTGCTCGAAATCTGCGCACAGTGAGAGAGGGCTGTGCACACGGGCGGGGAGGGGGCGCCGACCCCGCTCCCCACGCCCGCAGGCTCCGGCCGCCGCGCGCCAGCCCCTCACCTCGCACGTCGACGGAAAAGCCACAGCGGATACAGGTGACCGTGTCCTCAACCCCGGGAAGGGGCAGGATGGAGCCGCAGTCCGGACAGAAGTCCAGGTCCGACTGGAAATGGGAGCGGGGGCGCCCAGAGTCCATGACCCAGCAGGGTGGGCGTATGTGCGCGCGCTAGCGGCCGGTCCCCCAGCGGGGCTCCCGCTGGGTCCCTAGACGCGGGCTGGCCTCCCGGCTGCCCTCCTTGGAACCCTCCTTCTCTCCGCGCCGCCACGAGAGGCGAGCGCGGCTGTGACGTCATAAGAGAGCGCAACCGCGCCCCGCCTGTCCTGCGGCGCAGCGGCGAGCGCCGTCGGCTGTGACGTCATCAACGAGCGCGGCCGCGGCCCGAGGTTCCCGGAGCCTGAGAGGGCAGTCTGTGGAGGAGCCGGGGGCGCTGCCTTTCCCTTGGTTCTGCTACTTCGGACGGGAAACTGGGTAATGAGCGCTGCGCCTCCGGTCGCTCGCCACCTGAGGATCCAGGCCTGGGACGGTTGTTTTCCCGGACCAGTCGTGAGGGCGCTGCCCCTGAAAACGAGAGACCCTTTCCGCCTACTGGTTGGTTTCTTGGGACTGTGCAGCCCCAGAGCCGGAATTTTCCTCTTGCGGCTGCGCAGCGGGTTCAAGCTCAGCGTCCGGACCGTCAGGTTCCCGAGCTCGCGGGGGCCCCTGCCCGGCACTGCCCGCCTTGGGGGCAGTCCTGGGCCCGGAGGGGGAGTGAGCGGGCTTCTTGAGGCGGAGGAAGTGCTGCGGTCGGAGCTGGAGCAGCGGGACAGGTCCCGACACGCCTGCCGGGGGCGGCCGCGGCGGTGGGTAGCGTTTCCCCACGACGTAGGCTGAGTTCGGCGTCCGGTCGCAGACACACCTCCACCTCTCCTGCCAGCTGCGAACTGCCGGCGTCCCGAGTGGACGGTAAACTTCCCTAATATGTGAGTTATAACACACGAGGACGAGCTGTTTTCATTCGACTGTAACCTACAGTCTAGAGCAGAAACCCGTGACCCTGAAGGGACGGCTTCTCGGTGCCGGGCCTCGTTCCCTCCTTACCCCGCTTGGCCGGGCCAGCCAAGCGGACGGCTGTGCCGAGCCCCTCACGTACGGGAGTCGTGGAGCCACCCCTGTCGGCTCTGGAGGAGAAAAGCTGTGGTCCTCCTCGGGAGAAGCTCCGCCCCGCAGTTTCCTGCAGTCATGGAAACACACACAGTAGCGAAGGGATTAAAACTCCCAGCAGGCTACTGAGCATGACAAGCCCCATAATTTCACTCACCTGGCCGTCACGTGATCTAAAGAAGGGCGGTCTGTTGCTGAGCCCTTGACGTAGGCAGTTTCTGTGTGTCTCCTTTGGAAATGGAAATTGAATGAGCTCTTCCCCTCTGCCTTTTCACTTTGACCAGCATTCCGTGCCCGTCCTCTGTGAGTAGATACTGTCCTGTGCCGGCGTTGTGAGGCGTGGCCCTTTCCCAACACCTCACGGCTGAGTCTGGGCTGCAGAGTTGAAAACTATTATCTGATCATCAGGAGCACAAATGATTAGAATGCAGTCTGAGTAATGGGAGGGCAGAGTGAGAGGCAAGGACCAGCGCAGGACACCTCAAGGGAGACTGCAAGTGTTTCAGTAAAAAGGGTGATGCAGCAGTATGGTAAACGTAGAGAGAAAGGTGCTCGTGTCACGTGATACGGATAATCAATTAACAGATGATTGTGAGTACTTGGGATCACATACTCATGTTAAGTTCTGGGCTAGATTCTGTGGACTGAGAAATAAGCAAGGTGGTCATTTTTTTTAAATATCAAAACGGAATTGCAAGGTATGGTAACTAAAAGTTAAAAAAATATAACTAGGTATTCATAGGCAAATAGGGATGTGCCTTAAGAGTTTAGGGAGATCCAGTATATGATACCAGATTCATTCCAACAATATAACCACATTGTACTTGTAAATATAAATTATACTTACTACCCTTTAATAGTCTAAATTTCAGCATGAAAATGTTAAAAATGATCAGGAATATGGGAATCACAATGTAAACCCCGATTGATTTTCAAATGAGTTGTAGAAATAAGAAAATGTCAAGTGTTCAGAAGAAGGTAAAATCACTGTTACATAGACTCATCCGGAAAGACTTTATAGAGAGTCAGAGGCTTGATCTGTGGATGAGAGACAACTGCCGTTTTATGGCAATTTACCATATGTCAGGCATAGTGCCAGGCTCTTCCATCTAAACCACATTTGTTCTTTATGACCCTCGGGAAGCAGATTTTTGTCTTACATCTCCATTTTATAGATGAGGAAACTGACTTAGAAATGGCTACTTGCCCTGAGTCACACACCTCAGAGGCGACAGAATTAGGTCTCAAAACAGCCAGGGCAGGCTTCAAAGCCCATGCTCTTTACCGTAAATAGTACAAACAGAAGCACAGAGATGACATGCCAGGCATCCCCGCTGGCTTCAATATGACCTCATAGTAACTCAGATTAGACCAGGGACGACACATAAAAAGTTGGCAGTCCCGTGTTGCCATCAGCCTGACCCCAAATTCCCATGGTAAGGGGTTCAACAGGGAATGGCCTCATAATGGATTTGGAGTGAAGGATGAGTGGCGGGGGAGTAGGCAATCAGATGAGAACAGTTTCAGAAGCAAAGCTTGGAGGGCAGAGATGCTGTATGTGCTGATAGAGGCAGAGAGTGCCCGGACCAAGAAACTGCAGAAAGAGAACAGACTCCAGACGCTGGAATGCGGGACTCTGTCCAGAGAGGGCAGCTGGGACACTGAGCCGTCCAGCGGAGATGTGCCTGTGCAGTGCTGCGCCAAGGAGCCAGTCTCTTCCCTCTCCCAGCCCCAGAATCGAGATTCAGAATGGCTCACGAGGAATCCACAGGAGATGTGCGCTTTTTGTTTCTATGAGAGGATTTTATGCTCTTACTAAATTCTCCATCACAGGGTTGCAGTGGTTACCACAGAGGACATGGACCTGGAGTAGTCCTGCCTCTTAGCAGGTTTTCTCTTTCTGGGGGGACATGCCTTTGGCTTTGACCAAAACAGTTGGGTTCTTTGGTTCAGTCAGTACGTGAGCAGGCATGTTCTGATGCTTCTTATATTCCTCTGCCTTTTTATCTTCCAGATTGGCCTGGGCTAAAATGTCTACAGACCCCAGGATTGCTGCAGGTCAGCAGTCACCACTGGAGAAGAAAATCTTGGTAAATAATCTTTACATCATACAGTCTGGAACTACTAGGAGAAGGAGCCTTGGGTTTAAAATCCTGCACAGGTGACTCCTGTCTACACTGGCAGATGTGTTTCGCTGTATCCACACTTGCAAAACAAAGTACTATGTTGAAAACGCCCAATACTATATTTTAAAAACACTAGTTACTGATTTTGGTGGTGGGTAATTCAAATTTCAGAGTTCATGGGCTCACCTAGGAGTGATGGGAGTAAAAATCAATTATTACACCCACATATCTTTTCTCACTGTCAGTAATGAGGGTCTGCTCCTGTTTAAATGTGTTCAAAGTAAAAAGATGGTCCCATTATGAAATTCTCTACCTCACTTTGACAGAATCTGGGTGGTGTGCATACAACAGCAGCAAGACAGCTGATAACTCAGAAATACCAGGAGGAGTACAAGACCCTGTGTAGGGAGCAAGCTCTTTCTCTTGACTACTGGCTTGCCAAAACAGAGTCTTACTATAATAAAAGAATAGTGGAAATGAAGGAACAAGAGACAGGGTGTGAAATGAAGAAGAAATTGGGGGAAACAACCCAAAGCATGGAGAGACAAAAACGCTATTACATGGTTCCTGCGAGAGAGGGGAGACACCTAGAAAGGCATGTCCAGAGAGCAGGTCAGGTCAGAGAGGTTAAGAATAAGCCATGTAGGCCATTACCACAGGCCTACATCCCCAGATGTACCACAGGCACCTTCCCCAGAATTGTGCCGGAGGAGCACAGCATTCTGAGTGCACAGAGGAGAAAGCAGGTGAGTGAGAGGGAGCAGGTACAAATTGAAGGTCACCAGGAGCGCATGCTGCGGGGCAGAGAGCTGGGAGAGCAGAGACTCAAGGAGGGAGTCATGAGAAAAGACCAGAGGCCGCCGCTGACCCGTGGGAGGCACAGGAGAGCAAAGAGCAAGGTGAAGGAGTTTGAAAGCATCACTGCATATCCACTCCTGCAGCCACGCAGTAAATGTCGGATCAAAGTGAATGTTCTTGTGGAAAAGAATAGAGAAGAAGGGAATATTGTCATTAAACCGCATCAAAGAAAATTCCTAACTATGCCACCCTTTTTGAGAAGCCAAATAGGAAAAATAAAAGACTAGTCAAGTTTCAGTGCTTTTAGAATAAAATCATGTCTCCAAAGTGTACTTTGTTTTTCGAACTATTCTCCGTGTCTCCCCAGAGTTCAGTGAGATTGCATCTGTTTCGCATGGCTCAGCTGTTTTTAGTTGCCTCTCTCTGCTCAGGTTGCTAATCCTCTGTGATGTTTTTTTCCTCCTCTCTTGGGTGGTTGGACAATGATCTGAGTAAGAGATTGTTCTTGGCCCCCGCCCGCCTTGCCCCTGCCCCAGCCCTTGCCAGGTGTCCTGATGAGACTGCTGTAGGTCAATGTTGGGTCTCTGAAATCACATTCATAATTTTATCAGGGAGCTACTGATGGGGCCCTACAGTTTTGTTTGTATAAGGAACTTACTTGACAGCCTCCTCTATACCAAGTATTGTTAGTTACTGGAAGTGAATGAAAAGAGGTCCCTGCCCTTGAGTGATTCAGGAGTAATGGCATAGACCACTCCACACTCACAACATGGCCTGGGTGGTCCTGGAGGTGAGCACGGATTCTGTGCAAAGGCGGGCACCTGACCAAGCCCAGCTGAGCAAGGAGGGAGGCCACCGAGGGAGTGGCCTCTCAGGTTGCCTCCAGCTCCACACGTGGCCATGAAAACAACATCTTCTCAACATTGGATCCACTCAGAGATAAACCAAACTCTCCCAAACAGATGTCCTCCAACCCTCATTGATAACTCAGAAATCAAATTTACACATTTAGTGGGAATTTCAGTCGCCAAGCAGAATGAAATTTAGTGATTTCATTTTCAGTTCATTTTTTCCCCAGATACCTAAAAGTTGGGAAAGTGGGGGTTTGGGGGTGGTGAGTAGAGAATCAGAGACATGGAAAATGCACACTGTGGGGAGCATCGCCCTTCAGCTGTGGGGGTCCTGATGCCTACCCTCCTGGGCAGGCCACTCACTCATACCCCCCAGTTATGGGACTGTCCTGCACTGTTGCTCCTTAGGATGATAGCCACCTCCCGCCTGTGCCTCCTGCGCATTGCCCTGCGCCTTCTCTGACCTTGCGTCACCGTGTCCCAGGGGTGGACCCTCAGCCTTGCAGCGGGGAGTATGTCCAACTTAGAAACCCCGATCAGTAGGGTTAGGATAAGCCCTTTGAGCACCCCCCTACACTGTTGGTGGGAATGTAAACTGGTGCAGCCCCTCTGGAAAACAGTGTGGAGTTTCCTCAAAAAGTTAACAATAGAACTCCCCTATGATCTAGCAGTAGCACTGCTAGGAATTTACCCAAGGGATACAGGAGTGCTGATGCATAGGGGCACATGTACCCCCAATGTTCACAGCAGCACTCTCAACAATAGCCAAATCATGGAAAGAGCCTAAGTGTGCATCAACAGACGAATATATCAAGAAGATGTGGTTTATCTATACAATGGAATACTACATGGCAACGAGAAAGAATGAAATCTGGCCACGTGTAGCAACATGGATGGACCTTGAGGGTGTTACGCTGAGCGAAATAAGTCAGGCAGAGAAGGGCAAATACCATACGATTGCACGTATAGGAGGATTAGGAGGAACTTAACTGAGGACCATGAGGGAGAAGAAGGGGGGAAATAGTGGGGGAGAGAGGCAAACCATGAAAGACTCTTGAATAGTGAGAACAAACTGAGGACTGATGGGTGTGGGGGGGTAGAGGGGTGATGTGCATGGAGGAGGGCACTTGTGGGGATTAGCTCTGGTTGTTATATGGAAACCAACTTGACAATAAACTATTTGTTAAAAAAAAAAAAAAAAAAAAAGATAAGCCCTTTGAGGGGCACCTGGATGGCTCAATCAGTTTGGCGTCTGACTTCGGCCCAGGTCATGATCTTGCTTGTGGGTTTGAGCCCCGCGTCGGGCTGTGTGATGACAGCTCAGAGCCTTGGTGCCTGCTTTGGGTTCTGTTTCTCCCTCTTTCTCTGCCCTCCCCCACGTTCACGTTCTCTCTCTCAAAAATAAATAGACATTAAAAACAAATTAAAAAAAAAAAAGAAAGAAAGCCCTTTGAGTTGAGTGGGCCTGAAAAGCAACCTGGCTGGCTTAGTCAGTGGAGCAGGGGACTCCTCTTGATCTCAGGGTTGTGAGTTTGAGCCCCACGTTGTGCTTACAGATTACTTTAAAAAAAAAAATACAGGGACTCCTGGTGGTTCAGTTAATTGTCCAACTCTTGATTTCAGTTCAGGTCATGATCTCACAGTTCGTAGGATTGAGCCCCACATTAGGCTTGCGCTGACAGCGTAGAAACCGCATGGGGTTCTCTGTCTCTCTCTGCCTCTCCCCGTTCACGTGCTCTTCTCTCTCTCTCTCTCAAAGTAAATCAACGTTTAAAGAAATACGTAACTGTAAAGTATTGTTTACCATGAGGATTTTCAGTGCTAGACACGGTGAGGTCAGCCTCCCGTCTTCCTCCTACAAACCTAACGTAAGAACAGCTGGCAAACACAAGGCACTTTCACAGCTCATCCAGCTAAGAGGAAAAGCCTGGTGGGCGGGCTTAGTTTGGCCAGACCTGACCATCATGCCTACCTCACAACTCACCTTTCATCTTGAACTGTGTGTGAACAATACCATCTTTACCCCCAAGTAACCATGAATCATGAGTCACATTTAATGCTTTTCTTTTTTCCTGTATTCTTTCTTCTTAAAGCAAAATGAATATACAAATGGAAACATCCACATCCAGTTGGGAGAATAGTAACAAATGTCCAGGTACTTGCTGCTGAGGCAGAGAACTGGAACCCCGGTGCTCACATATACACCCCTCCCTCTTCCCTAGAGGCAGTCACTGTCCTGAATTTTGTGGTAATTAACACTGGTATAGTTTTCGCCATCTATGTATGTATTCCTGAGTGACATAATTGTGCACCATTGCCTGTTTATGGCATGTATATAGATGAAAATTATATAATTTACTTTTGCTCATTATTTTTTTATTCGTCCATGTTGATGTGAAGCACTATGTATTTCACTTCCTTTCTTTTTTCCTCTTTGAAACTTTTTTCAATTTTTTTAATGTTTATTTTTGAGAGAGAGAGAGCATGAGTGGGGGAGGGGCAGAGAGGGAGGGAGACACAGAATCCCAAGCAAGCTCCAGGCTCTGAGCTGTCAGCACAGAGGCCAGTGCAGGGCTCGAACTCACAAACCACAAGATCATGCCCTGAGTTAAAGTCGGACGTTTAACCGACTGAGCCTCCCAGGCACCCCTGAAACACTTTGTTTACGAGACTTCCAGGATAACATGTTCTCCTGGGTTTTCTCCAGCCTCACTGGTTTCTCTTCACAGTCTCCTTGGTTGATTCTCCTCTCCTCCCCAGTCTCCTGGTGCGGGGGGTGCGTCAGAGAGAGTCAGTCATTCATCTCCACAACCCTCACGGCTTTACGTGGTCTCTCCACTGAATTACCACCATCTAAGAATGGGTTTCTCCGCAACATGAATATGCCACATCTTAATAACCTACTCTATTGTTGAGGTCATTTCCAATTTTTGATTTTGTGAGGTATTGAGTTTATTTATTTTGAGAAAGAGTGAGGGGGGTGCAGAGATTCCCAAGCAGGCTCCCCAAGGTCAGCGTGGAGCCTGACGTGGGGCTCGATTCCGTGAACTATGAGATCATGACTTGAGCTGAAATCAAGAGCCGGATGCTCAACCAAGTGAACCACCCAGGCGCCCCTGTTTTTGTGTTTTTTATTCTACAATAAAATAAAATAATATTTCTGTAAACATTTTTGTTTAAGTGTGTTTCTGGGGCACAGTGTGCAAGAGTGTCCAGGGCATCTAAGTTGCGGGACTTTCACAGTCCAAGCCTGGTCTTGGGGCCTGTTTTCATTCCACTGTGGTGTTGTGCCCACAGACCTGTTCTGTAGAGTCTGTTCAAATATTTGTTGAAAGAAAGGACATTTGTTAACTGCTGGAAATAGCTGTGTCCAAGAGAGCCGAGTCCCCAAATACAGGATCAGCTGATAATGTGCCACTCTACCTTCTTGGGTCCTGTCTGTGCATAAACATCGTCTTTCTTTGTTCTTATATTTCATTTGAAGTACTAAAACATCTTAATTTGTTTTTTAATACCCTTCAGTGAAATTCATGATTTTTATCCCCTTTCCAGAACTATCTTTGATGCTTTCCAGGCAAGGTCACTCCCATTCTCTCTTCTCAAGGCACCTGGCAGCATCATAAAATAAGATTTCATTGAAGTCTGGATAAAAGGGTTCCCAGAAGAGGAGGATAGGGAGCTCAAGTCCCTGGAGACACTGGTTAGGAACTCTAACAGCTCTCTGTTGTCTGCAGGACAGGAGTCCAGCTTTCTCAGCCCTCAAGCACTCTGTGGCTTCAGAGGAGATAGAGAGATACTGGAGGCCAGGTGACTGACTGACTCCACACGTGCGGAACTTGTCAGTCCACACTCTGCTGACTGATGGGTGGAAGGATGGATAGGGCGGGTCCTCTGAGTTGTATGAGCTTACAATCTCACGGTACAGATGGAGCTCGATAATGCTAGTAGAGAAGTAGTAAAGCTAATAGAAGCATCTAAGTGCCTCAGAAACAGAGAAGGACTACCTGGCCTGCTGGGAGCCACACCGGCCTCGCTGGGTGACAGTCACAGCAAGGAAATGGCAGCGTTTGCACAGCTCCTGCCATGAGGAACGAAAACTGGCATCTCCTTCTGCTACTACTGTCTCATGTTGGAAATGAGCCTGCTGGTATTGACCAGGCCTCACGATATTCCATATCAGACCGATATTCCCCACACAGATTCCACATAAGGAAAAGCATATCCCTGCCTTTTCAAAAGAGATTTTAGATGAAAGCACTGTGGATGATTGTCAAAAGGCTCTTCCTATGGACCTAGATCCATGACCTAGATGATAAAGGGGGTTAAGAACACAAGAGTTACAACTGAGCCTGGCCCCCAGACAAAGAGCCTAATTTAGAGTTAAGGAACAGATAAGGGCAAAACTTAAGTTAATGCTTATACCTTTTCTAACTGGTGATGTATGGCAGTCCCTTCCCCAAGGCCTACTTTCTGCAAACACCCTCCCTTACACTGGCGGCTGGGATGGGGATAGATAAGAGTAGCTAAAACATAAACCCAAAAACAAAGGCTGACACATTTAGGGCCTCCATGGTGTTTACACATTCAGCATCAGGTTCAAAAAGGTTTCCACAAACAACTTATTAACCAGCTCAAAAACAACATTTGTCCTCTTGTGAACCAGACAGAATGACTCCTGGCTTATCTATATACAGTTAACCTATGTCCTAATCTTTGTGTTATTAACTTAGAACAAATATGTATGTTATCCTGTTTTTCACTAAGAACATCCTGTTATTTCCTTAGTTGTAAGATTTACTCAACCTCACCATGATTGGAGTAGTTCTGCAAGAATACTTCTGTAAAACCTGTTTCTGTACATTTTCCAAAACATCTTATCACAGAGAACTCTCCATTGTAAAAATTCCATTTTCTGATGCCATGTTAATGTTTGACCTATAAATAAAGACACCAAAACTGACAGGGCAGACATGCCTGCCTGGTGATCAGAAAGAATCTCGGGGCTCTCTCAGTCTCTCTCTCGTCGACACCGTCCATCCTTCAGGGACCCCTGGACCTGCTGGAGCTGGACTCCGGCACTGTCCCTTTGGACTAGAGCTAAAGAGCCTCTTCGTGGGGGCACCTGGGTGGCTCAATCAGTTAAGCACCCGACTTCAGCTCAGGTCATGATCTCATGGTTCATGGGTTCGAGCCTCACGTAGGGCTCTGTGCTGACAGCTCAGAGCCTGGAGCCTGCTTCAGATTCTGTGTCTCCCTCTCTCTCTGACCCTCCCCTGCTCATGCTGTCTCTCTCTCTCTCTCTCAGAAATAAATAAAACATTAAAAAAAAACCTTAAAGGGGTGCCTGGGTGGCTTAGTCGGTTAAGCGTCCGACTTTCGCTTAGGTCATGATCTCGCGGTTCGTGGGTTCGAGCCCCGCGTCGGGCTCTGTGCTGACTGCCAGCTCAGAGCCTGGAGCCTGTTTCAGATTCTGTGTCTCCCTCTCTCTCTGACCCTCCCCTGCTCATGCTGTCTCTCTCTCTCTCCCCCTCTCTCTCTCCTAGAAATAAAAAAAATAAAAAATAAAAAAAACCTTAAAAAGCCTCTTCACGAAGCTTTACAGAAGAGGTGGGGACTCGTGCTGAAGGGGAGAGGTCTGGTAAGCAGATGAGAAAGAAAGGGCACCTGGGCCCAGGGAGCACAGGTGCACAGGACCTACATGTGCGTGGATGCGGGCACAGGGTTAGGGCGGTGCCTGCAGCCGAGAAGAGCTGTCCTGGTCAGAACAGGTGGGGTCTTGTGTGGCAGCAGTCTGACTCAGTTGGGACATGCAGAAGAACAAGAATGGGCAAAAGGAAGTGGAAATTACTGAATTAATATAATAGTGTTAAGAAGCTGCCATTCAGTGTTTGTGCTGATATCACGGGCATCAACAGTTCATTAAAGTAGGTGTGCAGGGACCCCTGGGTGGCTCTGTCAATAGTTAGACGTCCAACTTTGTCTCAGGTCATGATCTCACAGTTTGTGAGTTCAAGGCCCACGGCGAGCTCTATGTTGATAGCTTAGAGCCTAAAGTCTGCTTCAAATTCTATGTCTCCCTCTTGCTCTGCCCCTCCCCTCCCAAATAAATAAACATTTTAAAACATGGGCTTGGAAATTGAGCTAAAAGTTGAGTTTTTAGAAGATGAAAATGGATCAGGAAATGCCACAAAGAATATAGCTGTTGGCACAAAAAGGCATGAGAGTGTAGTTCTCATCTAGCCAGAACTGTTCAAAGGAGAAGCCATCAGAAAACATGCTAGAGCCAGAAAAAAAAAAGCAAAGTCGATCGGGATGTGTACTGAAACATCTCTGACGGTAACCAGCCCCATGCGGATCTGAAGTGCCCCTGGTTAAGAAGCCTCCCCCATCCCTTGCACACGTGTCCCACTCTGCTGTCATTATGGGGTGATTCCTCTCACATAACCTTAATGCTCATTTGAACTTGACTTTGTAAAACAGGATGCAAGTCTCCTCCCATCTGAAAGCATTGCTGTGAAAACTGCATAAGTTGACATGACGTAAACAAAATGTGAGCCCCGTTTTCCAAATGCCTGTCATACCACTTTGTTTTTACTAAAGGCCTACATGAGAACCTGTTCTCCCTAACTGAAAAAAAAAAAAAAAAAAAACTAAAAAGGGTTTTGGCCTTTATGAAAAAAGCCACTACTTGTTCTTTCAGGTCTTTGATAACAGTGAAGCAGCCTATTGCAGGCCTTCAGAAAGTGGGAGAAACCTGAATTTTGTTGGGAGAACAAGGAAGACTGGTGGAGTCAGCTCTTGAGGAGACAGCCTTTCATCACCATACCTCATGGCTTCTGAGTTTACATGCAATTGCCGAGAGAGAGAGCTGCCAAGTAGTTTGTGAATGTTGGCATCTTCCAATACTTGGGTAAGTTTAGCCCAAGCTGCAGATGTGGTGGCTGTGTGCAAACGGTGTAGTTGCAAACTGTTAGGGTTCTCCATGTGATTACATTTTTACAGTGATAATTTCTGTCCAAAACCAAAGATGCCCAACAAATCCATCAGATGGATTGATAAATTTATCTCAAGAATATAAAAACCAGGAAACTTGTTATTGGAGGAACACTCCCAGCTGATATTGTTTTCCCCCAAAGTTTTCCCTGTCAGAGTGTGGCAGAAATTCCAAGGAGGTAAGGCACAGGGGAAAAATACATATATATTGAAGAAAGGTGTTTCCTTCATATGGCTTATTTTCTGTGGGTAGAGGGAGGCCTGCTTGGGATTCATTCACTCTCTCTCCCTCCCTCTGCCTCTTACCCCCCTCAAAATAAGTAAATAGAAACTTTAAAAATATAATGCTGAAAAGTTTGATGAGTTGAAATCAGCAACATCATGGTCAGATTTCTTGTTTGCAAGCCTTAGACTTGGGTGAGTATAAAGAAAAAAAAGAAAATCAGTAAAAAAGTATTTTAAAGTTCTAAAGTATTTCAAACCACCGGGCCTCACAAGAGACTGGAACTAATTTCCTCATCTTTCCTTGTATCTGCTCACTCTCCTTTTCCACTCACTCTTGTTCTCTGTGTTCTCATAGTGCAAAATGGCATCTCTGCTTTCCCATAACCTCATGCTATCAGCTCCCTCCAAACTGGATGGTTCCTAGTGACCTATAAATACCCTCAGCTCTCTCCCGTGTAAGTCTGCTGTGCTAGCCCTTTGCAGTCCTTCAAAGCCAAGTCCCTTAGAAAGTCTGGATCAGGGGCGCCTGAGTGGCTTAGTCAGTTAAGCGTCCCACTTTTGCTTAGGTCATGATCTCACGGTTCGTGGGTTCAAGCCCCGCGTCGGGCTCTGTGCTGACAGCTAGCTCAGAGCCTGGAGCCCGTTTCAGATTCTGTATCTCCCTCTCTCTCTGACCCTCCCCTGCTCATGCTGTCTCTCTCTCTCTCTCTCTCTCTCTCTCTTAGAAATAAATAAAAATATTAAAAAAAAAAAAAAAGAAAAGAAAAGAAAGAAGGAAAGTCTGGATCAGCTGCCTGCACTCTGGCCTCTATGCCCATCACTTCACCAGGCCCCCTTTCACTGAGTCATCCAAGAGCTCCATGCAGCTAAATCCAGTGGACATTTAAGGGTGGAGTCGAGGAAAGAGAAAGTGCCAACGATGGGCACAAGACCTGAAAGGCTTTGGCAGCAAAGACAGCATGGAAGAAGGATCAACACATCCAGGGTAGGAATCCCATCCTTAGAAAACAGAGGGACAAGGAAGTCAGTAATCCTGAGGAGTTGGAGACAGATGAGGAACCAGAGTCGGGCACCAAAGGAACCAGATAAGTGAACAGTTGGAATACTCAGGAGGAGAGACCAGACTAGGGGTAGAAATGTTGACAAAACTGATCTGCCATCTTGGATTCCATCAGGGATGGGCAACCTGCAGTTGGGGTTAGGGAAGCCCCAAACAGAAATAGGTCATAAGGTCACAGGGGCAGGAGACAAGCAGACAATTACTATAACCCTCCTACTGAGTCAGGTACATGAAACAAGACTTTGAACTTATTGAAACATGTCTGATAGTGACTTTAGCCATGAAAGTTAAAGTGCTTCAGGATGTAAAGTTTATAAGATTAGTGTGTTGTTTTATATGGATCTAATTATAAAGTCTTTCACTGAGTTAGCATCACAATCAGAATAAGGCTGAATAAGAGTACATCTTATCCCTCAAGGAGGTTGGTAAGCAGGTCAGCAATGCCGTGCTAGCATAGGCTTTCTCACATTCACCAGTTACCTGCTGTCAATTCGAACAGTGAGTAAGCTGTACCTCATCTATCAAAAATCATGTTTTTGTTGGTAACATCATAGAGACTAGAAGGATAGTGGTGTAGAGGGAGAAATAAAACTTATTAAGTGTCTGCCATGCATCAAATACAATTAATTTTTTCATTTAATCATGAACACATCTTGAATCCAGGGTAACTAATATATCCTGACTTAGTTAAGAAGTCTCTCATATTGACATAGAATTTTGTTGAGAGCAAGAAGAAATTTAGCCAATAGATTTCTCAAACTTTCTGGCATGTAACATATCCAGATATTCTTTTATGTTTATATACATATTTTATACATGTAAAGTTGTGTTCTGTAAGTGTGGGGGTCTGTCTCTTTTTGCCTGTCCAAGCTCTCTTTTTATGGCAAGCAAAATCCCACCCTCTTGTCTTACACAGTTGCTTACCCCCAAGTCCCAGCAAACCAAAGCAGCCTAACCTCCTGGCATAGCGATTGACATCAGTGTAGCCAGTGGTCGGCTACAGTGGTTGGCATGTGAACTGAATGGCACCAATCAGAATCCTTCCCTGTTTCAACAGGAGGAACAAGAACATTTTTATAAAATATACAGAATCCACTATGTGTGCGTGGGACTTGGGACATAGCGAGCAACGTACTCAGTCAAGTGGTCATTACCCTTATAATCTAGGACCAAGTAAGTCTGAGAATGCAGGTACTGAACCAGAATTAAGTTTGAATCTCTTAGTGCTCCCCCTCCTCCCTCCCATTTTGGCTGGGCTGCTGCCAAGGGGAGGGACCAGCCTGGCCAGTCTGGGGGTGTCATTAGGCTGTGAGGGAAAAGAAAGAAGCATCATGTCCAGAAATTTCCAAAACAGGTCTATACAACCTCCTGTCTTCATCATTACTCAGGAAGTAGCCAAGGCAATGTAGGAGCCCGACAGTGACCACGAGAAAGAATGGTTAAGGAAGCAGAGATGTGCCTGCAAACATGACTCTCTGCTTGGGCAGATCATGCTTGCAATCAGGTTGTTCTGCCAAGATGCCTGCACACAATATCCAAGGTTAATGATCCGCTCGCATACGAGGGAATATGCCCTCCTTAAAAATAAGGAAGAGGCTGGAGTTCTGGGCAGACTTCTTAGTAAACATGCTGTGGTCACTTCCTCCCTTTGTTCCCTGCCCCCCCCCATCCTTGGAATGTGCTTGGCTTTTTGTCCTTATTTGGTAAAAGAATGCATTTCTTAGATTTTGGTATGTGTCCAGCGACCAGGGTATAAAAACGAACCGCAAGGGGGCTTGCGGAGAATTTTTCCCTCCATCCAGAGTTGTGTCTTTGTCTGTCTTTTGTGTGTCTTGTCTTTGTGTCATTTCACCCACAACAGACAAGATCATGCTTTTAGGGGGATAGCAGCACAGGGTGACCAAGTGCCTTACCAAGGTGGGCTAGGAAGAGGTGAAGGGAAAAGACTAAAAAAATCCTTTTCATTCAGATTTTGAGAAGGCTATTCAGCCTGTGAATGCTGTGATAGGAAGCATGAAAGATCCACTAATTACCTTGAATATCAGCCCATTGTCAAGAGGCTTTGCAATAAAAGGCACACCATTGCCAGACTAAAAAGGGTCTGAAAAGCCAAAACATGGTGCAGATTAGTTTCAAGGGCTATAGTGCTATTGCTGAAATAGGCTGATTAGACCAGAAAAGCAACACTGTACCCTAAAATAGTGTCAGCAGTGGTGAGGCACCACTCATAACTCTGAGAGGGGTCAGAAATCCAATTAAGTCCATCTGCTAGGAGCAGGTGTGGACAATGCCCCTTGCTATGTGGTCTCCCTCCCTGTGAAACAAATGGAATGGTCACAAACCCAAATCAGAGCCTGACCCTTTGCTTTGTATCCAGTGCACAATGGATCCTGGCAGCAACGGGGGTGATCTGTCCCTCGGCACATAGGTTCCAGGCCCGGCTCATCAGACAACAGGCCCCTCAGATGTTAGGTCAGCTGTTGGCTGTATTTCCACGGCATTATTTCTGTCTCCAAGGAGAGATGTGTAACCAGTTTAGCTTTCCAAGTGGCAGACCAAATAGCTAGGCCATTGGCACAGTCAGTAAAATTATAGGAAGGCTGATCTATTGGTAAGAACCATGACAATGGTCCTGAGTTCTGCCCCCCAGGTAGAATGACAGCCTCCATGTTCAGCTGTGAGTAACTGGCTCTGAGGCTGAACGTCTGTGTCAGCCAGAAACAGCACTGTGTTCTAGCTTCACCGAACCACAATGGTCCAGGCCTGGTGACCTGAGAGCCCTGCTAAGCCAGCAGCTTTGCTTTAGATGGCAGACTGGGAAATAAAATTCTCCCCAAAGGGATATCTGCCATTTTTCTACATAGAACTGAGACATTTGGGCCAGTCAGCTGCATCCCTAAACGTACCATCCCCGAGTGACAAGCAAGGCTAACCAGATCCCTCCCACTTGGTGAGAAGTTGAGTCCAAGTTGGCCAGCCCTCAGATATGACTATGAAGCCAGAATGTCAAAGCTTCCTTGGGTTTGATGTTTAGTTTTTAACAGGAGCCCGATAACAAGGTAAAGCTTCTCTTCAAAAGGACTGCACCCAGTGACCGTGTCAGGAAGGTGATGGGTCCAAAACTGAGGGTGCCGCTGTTGGATTCGCACCTTGTCAAAGGCTCCAATCATCAGTCATGGAGACTTGTAGCTGTTGGCTTGAAACCTCAGGAATTTTACCGAGGCAAGGGGGAGGGAGGCATCTGAAACAGGCCACCATACATGGAAGGCAAGGAGTGACTGAAGAAAAAAAGCAGGCCATGTTCCGGGTTGGTAGGTGGCGGTTTTAATAAGCAAGGGACTTACATATGAAGTTACTCCTGGATGGTCACACACCTGTCTGCCAGAATCTAAAAGTTTATATAGAGACCTTGACTGGGTTTAGTCATGTATTCAGTCCACATGGTGTCAACATCACCTACTCTCTCAAGACTGTATCCCTGAATACCTTCCCTTGTGAGTACATCCCAAGGACAGGAGCGAGTGAGGAGCCTCTTGATTGCCCAGGTCCTGCTCTCTGGCCAGCTGGTGGTCACATCCTCTGGATGAGCTCCTCCAACAGTGGCTCCGTTGGTAGAGCGCTCGCCACAGCTTGCCAGACTGGTACAGAGGCCTTGTATTCTATCGTCTGTGTATGAATGAGAAGGAGTCCAGGCAGTGATTATAGACCCAAGCATAAAGTTGGCACAGGCTTTTACAGTTTACAAAATACGTCTGTAAACATGGCCTCCACTAAGTCCTCAAAGGCAGCTGCTAAAATGGTGCTCTGGCCATTGCTAAATTCCAGACCAGGGTCTTTGTCATCAAGCTGGTGCTTAGCTCAAGGGTTTGCGTCGGTGTTTGGAACCATGCAGATCAGAAGCAGGAGGGCCTCCCCTTTGTCCCTTCTCATCAGCCTTCAGTTGTATCAAACCCAGGCCCCAGGCTCCATGTAGAGAGGTGGCCACATTCCCAGTCCTCCTCCAGGCCCGTCTCTTCACACCTGTGGAACCTCAGTGTCTGCCTCCTATCTTGTTCCACGTTGCTGCACTCCCAGCCCACATTTCAGAATGCTTCTCGGCCTCTGTCAGCAGAGTCGGCTCGGTTTCCCCTACCGGCTGTCTTCTCATCACCGTGCACACAGCACTGCTCTTTGTCCAGGTTTTCGACTCCTGTTGCTCACTTGAGCGTCTGTGGCACTGAGCGCTGCTGCTGACGAACACTGCACTCTCCCACTCCCTCCCCAAACCTGTGGTCCAGCACATGCTGAATAAGCAAATAAATTCCCTATTCGTTCCTTCATCTGTTTGCTGACCCTCAAGACTCGAGGACCAGATCAAAGTGGCAAACTATGGTCCAGGCTCCAGCTGCCTAGTGTTGTAAATAAGGTGATTTGTAACCAGGGCTGGGATTCGAGCAAGGAAACAGGCATGTTCGTGCAAGTTCAGGGTCAGATCCTATCTACTGAAAGGCTGCTTTTGTTTTCTCACGCTTGATGGAAAGCACCTTTGTCAGCCCTTCCCCCAGCCGGCTTTCGCTTGTGTCAGGATGGTGGCCCATCCGCAGGAGCACCTCCCGCTTTCCCTCCCACCCAGCCCCCACCCCCAGCAGCCTATCTGACTCTGCAGAGTGCCTCAGCACACAGCCTGGGATGGTCTGTGCCCCAGGGGGCTGCCCCTGGCAGCCACACAGTGGTGCTGACCCCGGAGAGCCCTGCTGTAGGGAGTCGGTCTTCAGGCCCCAGAGCAGCGGGAGGCGGGCTTTGGGACTGCTTCCTCACCCCCACAGACAGAATAACAAGTCTACCTCAGGGGATGCTTGTGTGGATTCGGTGGAGGCCATGTTTACAAAAGTGCTTTGTAAAACCCTGTGCCAATGTGAAACATAAAAGATGATCATAATACAAAGTGCACTAAGTGCTAGTTGAGAAAGAGATGCCACTTGAGAAAGTGAACTGAGTTGGGGTAAGTGGCCCAGGCCAGCAGAGCTCCACCCCACAGGGTCCTCTGCTCCCTAAGCTCCAGCATTGAAGTCACCATGTGTGATCTGCCCTTTGTCTTCATTTTTCTTTTTATTATTTAACATTTTTTGATGTTCATTTATTTTTGAGAGAGAGAGATTCAGAGTGTGAGTGGGGGAGAAGCAGAGAGAGAGGGAGACACAGAGTCTGAAGCAGGCTCCAGGCTCTGAGCTGTCAGCACAGGACCCGACACGGGGCTCGATCGCAGGAACTGTGAGATCAAGACCTGAGCAGACGTCGGACTCTTCACGGACTGAGCCTCCCAGGCGCCTGGCCTTCATTTTTTCTAAGATGCTGTGTACCTGTGTTTGCTCCTCTCCTTTTGGGGGCCTGTGGGTCTCGTTTTTCTCCTTTGGGCTCTAGATGATGGTGGTTGGAGGTTGTGAGTTTCAATCAGTAATCATTTAATCCTCTTTCTTCAAGAGCAAACGAAGGTTGGGAATAAGGCGAGGTCCGGCGCTGGGTGGGACCAGCGGTTACTACGGGTGGGAGGGTGGGCTGCTGAGGGGGGCGGGCCCTCTTCCTTTCTGGTTCCTCAGACTGTGAACTCTTGACCTTGGCGGGTACACAGCCTTGGCTGAGCCACCGGGCAGTGGGCTTGCGGAGCCGGGCGGCCGGGCTTGGAGACACCCCACGTCCCCGAGTCGCGTCCCCAGTGCGCGGCGGGTGAGTGGGGCCGCGGGGTGCGGAGCCCGCGCGGGTGGAGGCGCGAGCCGGGTCTCTGACCCGCGCTGGTCTGCCCAGACCTCGGCAGGCAGGGGGCATTGCGCCCCTCACCCCGGAGGAGCTCCGCCCGCAGGGACCTGGGGGGAAACCTCGGTGTCGGGGTGTGGCCCGGTTCGCTCGGGGAGGTCTGGGTGGACGGGGTCCCTCCCCAACCCCCTCCGGGGGGCGTTAATAGACACATGGCGCTGAGCCTTCTCTGCTCCCGCTGGCGGGAGGCTTCACCCAGGGGTCTCGGGGCTGGACAGGGGCCGGAAAGGGTTCTGGAAGGCATAGCGGGGGTCGCATACAGGGGGGACGGGTGCGGGAGAAGTGTGCAGGGGCGGCGGGGGCGTGTGCAAGGGGGGACGGGCGCAGACGGGGGTGCGTGCAGGGGGGTTTGGGGGGCGGTTGCGGGGAATGCATGCAGGGGCCGTGCATATAGGGGCTCTGCCCGCCTCGACCAAGGACCCAAAGCTCGCGCAGCTGGAGTGGAGCGGGTGAGCCCGGGTTTGGGTCGCGAACTGCTGTGGGAAAGATGAAGGTTTGGGACTCAAGAGGGAGAGGCCGGGTGCAACCTGGGAGCAGGAAGATAGCAAGCGACACGTTTCCTCGGTGGGCGCGGCGGGGACCTGCCTCCTGGGAGGGCGGGACCCGGGTCCGCAGGGTGTGCGGAGCCGCCTCCGTCCGCTCAGAGCGTACGGAGGTGCGCGGTGCTGAGCGAGCCCGGGGCCCCCTGCCCGGACCCCAGCAGACGCTGTTCCGACCTCTCCGGCGGGGCGGGGCGGGGCGGGGCGGGGCGGGGCGGCCGGGCCCTGCTGGCTGGGCCGGGGGTGGGAGGCCGCCGGGGGTCGGGATGGGAGGCCGGGCACGGTCCAGCCGGCGCGTGCGCACAGCCCCTGTGCGTGGTCCCGCAGGCAGGAAGGTGGGAGAGAGCCAGTGGGCTCAGATCCAGGCATGCCAGCTCCAGCGTCAGGTGCCTTTTTCCCTGCTGTTTCCTTGTTCTTGTGACCCCCCCCCCCCGCAAATGCAGGGAGAGGCTGCCAACAGGAGGGGTGGGGACCCAGCCCCCCTGACAGGTGGGCACCCCCAGAGCTGGCTCCACAGACAAGCCCAAATAACTGAGCCTACAGATTGTTTCAAGCTTGTGCCCTAGAGCGTCTTTGTTACCTTACACAGAACGCACATTATAAATACACAGGATCACATCCTTTTCAGGATTAGAAGGGGTCTTAGTGTCTCCTTTGACCTCATTTTCTGGTAAAACCAGAGCAGATGAAGACGATTGCACAAGGTTTTGTGCCCCCTCCGGGGCGCGTGCTCAGTGGTGCAGAGGCTTCTAACACGAGCTGTACTGGCATCTCTGGACTTCAGGTTCCTTAGGGTTATTACCTCCTGGGGCCAGAGCAGAGCTCAGGGACGCCTGATGCTCCCCGACCAGACAAGGAAGCTGTGGTCACTTAGTCCCCCTCTTGTTTCTGCATCCTTTTTTCCCTCTGACTGCAGGTTCCTAGAGGTTGGCGCCAGCTAGGGGCTTGGAGCAGGAAGGAACAGAGGGCTGGTGTCTGCAGAGCCTCAGCCTGGCATTCCTGGGCACCGGCGGCTGAGCCCCGGTGACCGGCGACCGGCCTCTGGAGCCTGAACCAAATGTGTGCTGGGGTATAAAAGAGACTTGAGACCGCAGACCAAAACAGGACCCTCAGGGCACATACCTTGGTCTTGGGAAGTCATGCAGAGCCCTGAGGCATTTGCAGAGCCCCTCCATCTGCTCCCTTCCTGGGAGAAAGAAAGCCCCAGGAAGGGGTGCGGCCAGCCCTGGGGGCCAGGTCTCGAGGGGAGAGAGCTGCAAACCGACCCCACAGAGGAGAAGCCCATCCAGCGTGTGCAGAAACTGCTTCCTCCGGTGGAGGAGGCAGCCCAGCAGGAAGCCGTACGGAGAGAGTGCAGGTGGAGGGCGTGGGTGCAGGTGAGGACACCCAGCTGGGGAGGGAGGGACTGTCCCAGACCCTGGAGCACTTCCGTCTGTCCCCTGTCTGTGGTCCCACAGAGTTTCCGATTGTTCCAAGGTCGACATCTCTCAGGACATGGGGCTGCCAGGCCTGTCTTGAGCCTCCACCCCACCCAAGAGCCCTTCCTGGAATTCAGGGAGTGTCGGCCCTTTTTATGTATATTCAGTGTACATGCCCCCTGCCCCTCCACATCTTTTCTTCCCTCCTCTCTATCCTCTCTCTCCTTTCTATTTTTTTTTTTTTTTTTTTTACTTTGAGAGAGAGAGAGAGCGCGCGTGTGAGAGTGCATGTGCACCTGAGCAGGGGAGGGGCAGAAAGAGAGAGAGAACCCCAAGCAAGCTCCTCACAGTCAGCACAGAGCCTGACGCAAGGCCAGATCACATGAACTGTGAGATGACCTGAGCCGAAATCAATCAAGAGTCGGACGCCTAACCTACTGAGCCACCCAGGTGCCCCAACTTCTATTCTGTTAGATCAACATTGCTGGCTTTGCACCTGTCTTTTCCTATTTCTCCCCTCCTTGCATGGTTTTCTTTCTTCCTTCCTTCCTTCCTTCCTTCCTTCCTTCCTTCCTTCCTTTCTTTCTTTCTTTCTTTCTAAGATACCTCTACATCCAGAGTGGGGCTCGAACACAGAATCCCGATGTCGAGTCACCTGCTCCTCTGACTGAACCAGCTGGGCACTCCCCTTCTCTGTTTTAAGCCTTGTGCTTGGATGCCTGTCTCCTGTACAGACTCCCTGAGTCTCTCCTGCTCTTCCAGAAGCCAGTCACCTTTGAGGATGTGGCAGTGAACTTCACCCAGGAGGAGTGGATATGTCTAGATGTCGGTCAGAGGGCCCTCTACCAGGACGTTATGTCAGAGACCGTCAGAAACCTGATGTCTGTGGGTGAGAGGCTGGCGCTCACAGGGCTCTTGGGCCATCTGGTTTCCCTGAGCGGGCAGATCAGCTCCCAGGTCGTTTTACTGACCTCGTACCTTCCTTACCTTCCAGGTGTGAAAGATGTAGGTCAGTAAGCTCAGGGTAAAAGAAGAAATGAAAGCCTGTGTGAAGGCAAAGATAATACTTGTAACTTGATGACAGTTTGAAAATGTACCTATTATCCGACCAGTGTTGACTGAGTTGTTACTGTCATGTGCCGAGGACTTCGCTAGGGGCTCTCCTCCTGGCCCCTAAGTGTGTGTCCCACATCGTAGTCCTTAAACCAAGGATTTGGAAGGAGGTAGCCTGTTGTCCCTGTTGGATCAGCAGGGGTCAGGCCTGGGGCCTTAATCTTCTCTCCTTCCCACCCATGAGTCGGCATCTTTCTGTCTAACCCAGATCTGGTCACGAAGCTTGAACAAGAAGAAAAACAGTGGAGGGTGGAGCTCCAGGTCCATTCCCCCAATGGAAAAGGCCTCCCTTCAGGTAAGCACTGCTACGGCAGGAGGGAGGTCAGGGCCAGGACCTGCCTTGGGTGGCTGGGAAGCTGACCCAGACAGAGTGCCAGGGCTTGGGCACCCTACCCCCCCCCCCATCCTTCCAGGAGACTAGGGGACCATCTGCTCACATCCCGTGGCCCAAGAAGAGTATCTAAACTATTTAGGACAAGTGAGCATCTGCAGGCTCTAGGACCGGACCACACACAGGCTGTGTACCCTCCTTCCGAGGGAGGGACATGAACTCGGCACTGAGCTCATGTAGGGGATGCTTGTGCTGACCACATGCCCCGGCTGGCACCCCCTTCCCAGCTTGAACAGTGAGGGCACTGCTTTTCACTTGGGTGTCCCTGTTTGTATGACACAGAAGGTCACCTGTAGGAGTCTGTTGGAGTGTGAAATATTGAAAATGAGAGGAGATGGGTTTCCAGAAATGTAGGTGTGGCCAAAAGTTCTGATCTCTGATCTTACTGGAAGATTCCACTTTAAATTTTTATTTGCTTCTAATGTGAAAACCCAGAGGCCTGTTCTGTCTCTAGCCTGTGAGGTCTGGAAGTAGGGGAGGATGGCACGGCGGGGGGGGGGTGGCATAGCCTGGCCTGGGCCCTCTGCTGGGTGGGTCTCCTTAATCTGCGCCCCCCCACCCCCCCAGGAAGCCAGACACAGGAGCTTCCAGAAGGGAGCCGGAGCAGCAGGGGCAGAGATAAGGAGGGCCCCCGTGCTGGCAGAGGCTCGGGCGGGCCCTGTGGCCCTGCGGGGTCCGGGCGCAGGGCCCCCAAGTGCTCAGCCCCGCAGCCCGGGCCGCCGTTCCCCTGCCACGTGTGCGGCAGGACTTTCAGCAAGCGCTCCAACCTGCACAGCCATCAGTTTGTGCACAACCCCCACAAGACGAACAGCTGCAGCCAGTGCGGGAGGTCGTTCCGGAACCCCAAGGACCTCAGCTGCCACAGGCGCCTGCACCTGGGGGAGAGGCCCTTCTGCTGCCCGCTCTGCGACAAGACCTACCGCGACGCGTCAGGCCTGAGCCGCCACCGCCGCGTGCACCTGGGCTACCGGCCCCACTCCTGCGCCTCGTGTGGGAAGGGCTTCCGGGACCAGTCCGAGCTCAAACGGCACCAGAAGACGCACCAAAACCAGGAGCCATTGGCCAGGGACTGGGAGCGCGTTGTGAGGCTTCTGGGCGCCAGCGCTCGGTCTCAGGAGTCTCCGCACGGGAGCCAGGCAAGCAGCCGGGAGCCGGCGGCCAGGACCCGAGAGCCTGTATTTGGAACCAAGGGTCCTGTAGCTCAGACCCAGCCGTCTACAGACAGGAAGCAGGCGATTGGCGTGAAACCTCAGGCACAGGCCACTGCAACCCTGGGGCCTGTGACCGGGACCCAGGACCCTGACACCAGAACCCCCTGCCTGGACACCGGGTCCAACTGTCCCCCAGCAAAGCCTTCAGGACTCAAGGTCTTCTCTGGCTCCCACTGCCCTCCGACGTTTAGCAGGAAAGCCTGCCTGTCCAGCCACCAGAAGGCGCACATCACGGAGCAGCCACGCTGCTGCTTCCGCTGTGGCAAGGCCTTCGGGTCACTGCCGGGGCTGGCCAGGCACCAGCACACACACTGGAGGCAGCAGGTCTACCGCTGCCCCGTCTGCGACGTCTGCTTCGGGGACAAAGAGGGCCTTGTGGGCCACTGGGGGGGCTCCAAAGGCAAGGACGCGTGCCGGGCCACCCTGGCTCAGTGGCTTGGCTTCTTCCGTGACGCCTCCCCTTTGGCAGGAAAGGAGACGGTTGTGCCCCCGGATCCCGGGCCCCAGGAGAGGGCAGGGGGCGGGGGAGAGTGTTTGCAGAGCAGAGAAAGCAAGTGAGGCCGTGAGGGTCTTGGGACATAAAGAAGCAGCCATTCTGTGCGCCTGTGTCTCCTAGTCCTGACCTCCGGATGCAGGAAGACAGGGGAGGGGTCGTGAGGGAAATGCAGAAAGGAACAGGGGTGAGCAGTGGTTCACGGAAACTTGTATTATTATGACTTAGCACCTAGCTTGTTTCTTTGTGTCTGAGAGACCATCAAGTAGTAATTGTTGCAGAAAACATTGGAGGTTCTGCTGGACAGGAGGGAAGGGCTGGAGGGAAGGACTCTGGGCGCGGGTAGTGACACGTGACACGGGGTGTGGCCTCCACTGCAGGCTTGGCCTCGGCCGGCTCCCCAGGCCTCCCAGCAGCTCACTCAGCTCCGATGGTTTGGACCCTCCTGCCCCTTCCCTCAGCCCCCCACCTCTCAGCTCTGCCCCTCGGGACAGGACCACCATTTCGAGGTTAGCACATTGGGATGTGCAACAGGGGTGCCCTGGTCACAGTCCACGGCCGAGAGCCTGCTGCCTGTGTCACTGTCCAGCTCAGGTGTCATCGGGGAAAGGAGCGCCCACCTGGCTGTGGCCAGAGGGGCTTCCAGTTGGACGACTGGACAGGAGAGATGAGGAGACAGAAAAGGCTGACGACAGAAGGAAACTCAATCCTGTTGGGAGCTCCCAGCATCCCTGGAAACGCAGATGGGAAGGTCCCGGCAGCAAGGAGGCCAGTGAGTGCACAATGTGGGGGATCCCGCATGCTGAGGGCCAGTCCGTGGACCAGCGAAGCTCAGAAGGGGTTTCCTAGAAGGAGGAGAAAGTGGCTTGAAAATCTGTCAGCGGTTCAGAGCAGCAAGCCATTAAGCCCTGGCGGGGGGGGGGGGGGGGGG